GACTCACAGCCTATTGGGTTGCTTTGTGGGGGAAGACCCCACCAATAATCCACCAGGTTGAGTAATTTGGGATTGACATTCTGCAGATATTCACAGCCTTAGGGGATTTAGACAATCAGAAGGATTCTCGTAAGGGAAGCTACCCACATCTTGGGAGCAGGGAGCGGTGACCTGTCCGACACATCTTGCTGTTCGGAGTGGTCCACCTCATTGAAACATGCGCGGGACACTGCGTGGAGGTGCTTCCGGTTTTCTCTCGGAGGTGATGTGTTATTTTTCAATTTTGGACGGCCAATGTTCTTGCTTGGTGTTTGTTTCAACCTAAACCGTTTCACCCTTTGTCACATGTTGGCCTTATTCGAAGCCTGATTGAGGCGTTCTTTTCGTTGCTCAGCAGAAAAACAAAACACACTTTTGAAAGGGTTTGGTAGCGTCATGGCTGGGCAATGTAGACCCGTGTTCTGCAAATTGTCAGGTGGTAGAATGGAGTTTTAACTACCAACCCTCTTGGCAAGAGGATTTGCAAAAGAGCGTTCTCGAATCTTGAACCGCATCCATTTGCCGAACATTTCCTATACGAAAGCCCATATGAAACACAGAAAGCCTTGAAAGGCGCAATTTATTGATGACTCGAGGTCTCCTCCAAAACAGCGTTATATTTCACAGCTGACCACTTATGAAGCAGAATCCGACCACATTATTTTGGTGTGCCCTGGAACTCGGCCAAGTGAAAGGTACAAAAACAACGCGTGCGAGGTGCACAAAAGCCAGACCCGTCTCTTGTCTTTTTTCCCCTGGGGTGAAGCGGGTATGGGCAAAAACGCCAGACCGTTTTGTGGGGAAGGAGCAGCCGATGTTGCCCTGGGACCAGATCGACAGCTCCAAGCCTCTGGTGTTTCTGTCCCTGGGCACCGTGGCCAACAGCCACTTGGCGCAAGCGCCTGAAAGGCCGAGGCTCGCAGGCCAACCCGACCCGAATCGAAGTGAACCACCCGGTCCCGGCTGGACGAGCGTTTGTTGTTTTTGCTAGAAGAACGATACAATGTTCTTTCCGCCACCAACATGGCACCTTTGGGGGTGGGGGGGTTTGGAGTAGCTGAAAGATCAGCGTCCAGTTGAAAGGATTCCCTTTCAGGTGCGATGTTAGGAGGAGGGGCACTGATTCTCATCCTTCCCTCATTGCAAGTCACAGCCTTTTATCTGCTTTCAACATGAGATGTGGGACGTATCTCCAGGAAATCCTGGGCTGCACACCATCTCAAACCACATCTAAATGGAAACTCATCTCAGAATGGCAACCCAAAGATGATGTTTCTAACACCCAAAAAGGATAGAACCCCGGTGATTCTGTGGATGGACGAAATCCTGACATCTTCTTGAGGTTGGACCCCACAAGTGGCTTCGGTTTTCCTTCTGGTCTCCCTTTAAACCAGCCCCCAAAATGGGGTAACGCCCCCTCAACATGGTTGGTGGACATCACTCCCCCCATGTAAATGATGTCCACTACATAAAGTTAGGCCCCCAATTAAAAATCGCACAACTGGATGGTTCCCAGCCATCAGGTTCCTTAGGTCCTTTTCATTTGGTTTGGAGGTTTTCCACGACACCCAGCTCAAATTCCACTAAACCCAGCTAAAAGTGTTTGACTTCTCGCCGGGGATCTGAAAACATACGGACGCCCGTTCGTGCTTTGCCGTTCGTGGGCTGTTGGAAGGTCACTTCTGGACCAACAAGTTCGGGCACCAGGCGGGGCGAGTGGACTGTGGGCCGATTCCATCCGAGGTGTGAGTCACCTTTTGGTCCAATTTACAGTGTCTTTCCTTTCAACGGCGTTCAAAGGGGAGATATGGGTGGCTCGTCTTTTTCTAGGGGACCGCCCAACACCCTCAAAAAGAGACACACCCATATCAGAGCCCTGAGAAAGGCATTCTGCTCTCTTTTTGTAGGATGTGCGTGTCCTCTTTGGAGGGTATCCGCGGACCTTTTGGGATTTGGGAGGCCTTAGGCAAAGTGGAACCCGTTGCTGCTCGGGAAACCAAAACGAGTTGGTGTGTGTTTTGGGATTCGCGCTTATCGGTTAGAGAGGAATCCGGGGAGGGGTAAGTAATCCAAGGACTGGAGGAAAAAGCCCTTTGCTGCTTGAGACTTGAGACCAGCTTGAGTTACACACCCCGTTTCTCCGATTTTGATGGGGAGCGTTGCTTTTTGGGGGAAGACTCCACCAATAATCCACCGGGAAACCAAAGGGACATCTTTTTTTTTTTTGGGGGGGGTCCGAATCTCTGTTTTGCGGGGTTGGACGAAATTCATTTCGCAGCACTTTGAAACCGTGGCTGACACCATTGTTGGTATTTGCGTTGGGAAATCGACTCATTCCCTTCGGTTTCCGAATTTCTGAACGGTGCGCGACTCTTAGAGTTCGCAACCATCCACAGTCTGACGAAACGAAAGCGTCGGATGCCCGGGGGCCATGAGACTCCGTAGGACAAAAGGAGCTTTGAACATTTGGGCGTGTCTTTTTCAGTACCCGTTCTCTTTGTTGGCTTTAGAAGGAAACCCAAAGCAAAAAACACGCTTTTGAGAGGTCCCCCCAAAAAAAGACGGATCTATTTTGCAACTCGAGATATTGTGGATGGTGCAAATTCCCCACCGATCAATTTGTACCAGTTGGAATGGATCAAACCCGGTAAATATGGGTTGACAAACCACGAATCCCATCCGGTGCAGGATTTTGTTTGCTGCGTTTAAAAAAATCGCCGAAAGCTAGAGAGCCCCTGAATGCCTCGCTGGACAGAAGGCCATACTTCACCTGCAATAAAGTACACCAACAGGGACAAACTGACAGAACAACTCAGGCCTACATATTTTTCTATTTGCTCGTTGCTTTGCAGAGCAGACAACCTCTCACCTGCACTCCGCTTGGCAGTTCGCCAATACAAGCAGCAAGCGGCATATGCATTCGTAATTGCCAGGGATCACTTTTAGTTTCGACTTTGAAAGACACATGAGACTCTGACACTTGGGAAATTTGACCTTTGAATGTCAAACATTAAACTTCTTTCAAGTTGGGCTCCACCCGCGTTGCAAGTCCTTTGCAAGCAAACGGAGTGCTGAAAGCTGACTCCAAACGCCTTAGGGCCCAGCTGTAGGAAACCCAACATACAATGAGACCATTTCAGAACTTGTAGTACCTCATGGGTAAATGTGTCAAAGGGTTTTGGACCCCTGAGCGGTGGTTTTTCCCTTTTGTTTTCCTTCAAGCCAATCAGAAACGGGTACCTCACCTCAACAGCCGCGTTTGCGCGTGGGCAAGACCGTCGTCAGGCGATGGCGAACGGAGTGCAGGACCTGACGGGCAAGGACCGAAGAAAGCGAAGAGAGAAACCATACGGCAAAACCAATGGGATCCCATTTTTGGGGATTGGTGCACCACCCATTTTAGGACCTATGTTAGTGGGGATTGGGATGTCTGGGGGTACGGGCTTTTGACCCACACGAGTCCAAAGACTCTTGCTTGGTGGTTCCTTTGGCCATCCGGTGCCAGACAGGTGTTTGGATCTCTTTGGCTGGTTAGTTGGTCGGGTTTCAATTTAACCCATTACAAGTTTTCACTTTTAGAAGGGGATCTGAGGACAGCCCAGTTTAGCAGGTGGGTTCTCACTTCCTGAGTTCATGGACTTTGTATTGTGTGGGTTTGGAGCATGTCAGTGGCATACAATAAGCTTGGCTGTAGTTAAGGGATTATAGCCAGGAAAGCCTATGTAAACTGTCACCATGTACCACATATCTGCCATCAAAAGACCGGTTCCTCTACGGGTTAATAGGGACGGTCATCCACCTGGGAGGGATCCTTAACGGTTACAATGATTAAGGGAACCATGACCCGATCGGCCATCTTAAGCTTTGAACATGGCTCACGTCTCTTCGTTTTCGGGCTCTCAGTCGTAAGCTCGACCTTGCCTTTGAACTGCTTTCCAAAGGCTGTCAACTGATGACACCTGGATCGCCAGATGCTTTTTCAACCAGCAACTCTTTGAAAGCAACTTGGGCGACTGAGACCATGTTGGCAACCTCACGTTCCATTTCCGCGGTCAAACACTTTGTGACTTCGAAGAGACCGGTAAAGGATGCCACGCGGCATTTGGCAGCAACAAAGCCGCCTAGAAAGGAAACGGACAGTAGGAATCCAACGCGACTTTTTTCGGCTTTTGCCACGAGAGTCAAGTTGGCTGTGGCTCAAAAATGGCATACCCAACATGCAACGTTGGCATATGGAAGCAAAGGCACCCAGTTCAGGTGCTGTCTTGCAGCTTTTCGTTTCCAGGGGTCGATGCCGACGACAAGAAACCTGCCTGATGGTTCATCAGCCAAGTTTCGTGTTTTGTTGCGTCAGTGGTTATCGACCCTTATGGACAAAAGGCGAAGGCCCCCCGGCCCCGCCCAATTTTTCAGGGGGCTTTCGGGTTTCGGGGCATCTGGAGGAGTTCATCCAGCTGGTCTTCCGCACTGCCTACGAGGCCTTCGCGCAGGAAGACGTCTTTGTGGTCATGGCGGTGGGCCCAAAGGAGCAAGTGGCGGGCGTTCAGCGGCAAGTGGGCGAAGAGATGAGAGATGGATGTCGTGCTTTAACTTTTGGGTTGGTTGGGGTTGATATGACACAGGTGGCTAGGGTTGAGATGAATTCCCGCGGATTGTGTGTGTCTGTGTGTCCAGTGGGGGGGGGGAGGGTGAGGGTTGGGGGAGGTCAGTGTCCTTTTCTCAGAGTTTCGTTGGTGGTGGTGGGGGGGGTGTTCGGAGTTGCGGGAAGGCTTGGGGAGGGGACAAGTGAGGGTTGGGATGTGAGGGGGGCGCTTCGTGTCAGTCAGGAGGACGCGCTCGAGGGCATGCCAGAGGCGGGTTGGGCTATTTTCACTCAAATGGAGTTGCTTTAATTAACTGGGTCTTTCTCAAAATAGGAGTCCATTTTATTCAACTGGCACAGGGTTCCCTTTGGTTGCCCTTTAAACTCGTGCCGAATCACAGGGCACCAAGCCCAAAAGTCAGCCGATAATTGAGGAAACCAACCCAGTGAACTCCCTCTGGGCTGAAACTTACAGGCCAAAAGCAAACCACCATACAGCCCAAAATGCCGCTAGGCGCCCAAGAACTTCCTGCTGCAGAAGTCTGTGCCGCAGCTGGAGCTTCTGCCCAAGTGCCAGGCCTGCTCCGAGCTGCGTGTGTTTTGCTGTCATTCGGCGGAGAAGGGACCCCACCCCCACCCCCCGCACGTTTCGGGGGTGCGTGGATTCAGGAATCCTCGATCATTGTTCAATCAGGCCTTTTGAGCTTTTGCTTTCCCCCTTTTGGTTCCCAGTTTTAGTGGCTCCAAAAGGCTATTTTGATTTACAAGTCGTTTGGGCAAGTGAATGCCCCCTGATGAACACCTCCAGAGCATGGGAGCATGGGGTGATCCTGGAAAGGAATCCCCAATCAAGCCACGGGCGGCCATTTTCAACTCACTTGCCAGGCATATAGGGTAAGCCATGGAACCATAGTGATGACCTACTTACCTGAACATGTAAGTAGGAGGCCCGATTTCGGTTGGGTCAAAAATGAGCCCGGGAATGAGCTGTGACGGTCTAGGGGTCAGCCGCGTGGGAACGAAGCACGGAAAGGAGACACTATCAATGGCATTGGTCCAGGGCTTCTGCAAGGAACGATCGAGGCTTATGTGGAGGGCAACGATATCATTGTGCGCTTCGGAACTGAGCCACCCAAACTTGTTTAGCTGCGCAAAAGACTTCATGCACGCTGAAACTATATAGGCGGTCCACAACGAGCACGAACTTGCTTCCTCCTGGCCCCTGGCCAGTTGAGGGTTGGCTTAGGTTTGGTTTCGGTTTGTTTCGGCTTGGTTTCGGGTTGGTTTCGGGTTGGTTTCGGCTTGGCTTCAGAAACCCAGGCTTCACCCTTTTCCCTCTTCGGCACGTTTTTCGCTCGGAAGCCCCGATTCGGATGCCAGGCTTTTGTGACCCACGGCGGTGCCAACTCCATGCACGAGGCCCTCGGCTTTGGTGCCTCGGCCGAGAAGCACCGGGCATCCGTTTACAGAGATTTTGCTTTTACACTTTGCCGAGCTGTTTGTCGTATTTGTTGCTGTTTTTATATATATATATATATATCCATTGTGCAAGGTTTTGACTTTTTGCAGGGTGTCGGATCCGTCTGTTTGAAGGACACCTCCTTGGCCAGGAGGCAAGCATGTGAACCAACGCTTTCATCGGATCATCCAAACCCTTCCAAAGCTTGCCATTGCTTTCCCCCCAAAAAGAAGAGGAAGAAAACAACACACACACACACAAATAAATAAATAAATAAATAAATAAATAAATAAATAAGTAAATAAATGAATAAATACATAAATAAATACATAAACAAATAAATAAGTAAATAAATAAATAAATAAATGAATAAATACATATATAAGTAAGTAAATAAATAAATAAATACATAAATAAATAAATAAATAAATAAATAAATAAATAAATAAGTAAATACATAAATAAATAAATAAATAAATACATAAATAAATACATAAATACATAAATAGATTAAATAAGTAAATAAATAAACAAATACATAAACAAATAAATAAATAGATAAAACCGAGCGTGCCGCGTGCGGGGTGCCGCTTGCGGGGTGCCGCGTGCGGGGTTTCGGGTGGCGTTGGAGGCGTGCCTATGGCGGTGGTGCCCATCTTCGGTGACCAGCCCTCCAACGCGGAGGCGGTGGCCAAAGCCAACTGCGGTGTCTCCTTCAAGGACGCGGCGTTCGGCTTTCGCGAGACACTCGTCGGACGGGAGCGGTTTGGTGTAGGGTTTTTGGCAGGGGTTCCGCAGTTTTCGTGTTCACAGCTTCTTTTAAAGGAAGAGTTGGGTTTGAAAGTCAAGGCTTCGAAAAGGTTCAATTTTGGTCGTCTGAGCTAACCCTTGAAAGATGAAGGTTCCCTTTGAATCTTCTTTTAGGACAACCCCTAAGGGTTTAAGGTTCTCCATTTGGAAGGTACTGGAAAGGACATTACTGGAAAGTAAGCCGCACTGGACGGCGAAAGTAAGCCGCAGCCGGCCCATTAAGCCTCCCTTCAAGTCCTTGATGTTCCTTTGGAAGGAGGTTATGGTTGGCATAGGAACTAAGGAGATCACCCAGCCATCCTGCTTGGTTGTTTCTATTTGTGGTAACTATGAGTTTTCGACTTCTAGCTAGGGATTTGGAAGCCCAAAACTGGCAGCTTGTTTTGGTATGTCTTTTGGTCCATTGGGGCGGCAGCAACCTCTGCCTGAACCGCAAGCAATTTCCCAACACAGCCATCCATCAATCCCACCCCAAAAGTCGACGCCGAGAATGACGGTTGCTCCGAGAAATTGGTGAGTGGGGTGTGTCTTGTTTTATGGACATACTTTTTTGGGGTTTGTTACGGTTTGTTTTTTCAAAGCAAAACCACAAGGAATACCCAACCACTTTGGGGGTCCCAAAAAAAGGACACACCCAGTTGGGCTTCCTTCGGTGTCCACCCCTGGGGTCTTTGGAACGAACCCAGGAGGTAAATGGCTTCGGTTGTCCTGTCGGGTGTCCTTTCAAATAGAACCGGTGCTCCAGTTTGCTGGGTCATGTTTTTGATGAGCCGTACCCATATTCCAAAGCCCGACGTTTTCGCTCTTATGCCCCCCATCAAAGGTTTTCTCAACTTAGGGCAATTTGAACCGTGAATTCTTCCACGAGGCCAAAAGAACACCGCCATTTTGGTTCGGATTTTTAACGCTCACCTGCTTTTGGACGTTTTTTTCAACCGCTTGGGGTGTCCCTTTTCAATCGGCCTTGTTGGACAAGCACGTGCATGTGTGTGTGTGTGTGTGTCCTTTTTGTTGGGGTGGCCCTTTCTAGGCTTGTCTTTTTGCCTGAAAAGGGAACCTGTTCGGGCTTTCCCAAGCAAGGAAATCCAAACCGGGCCCATTTTGAGGGGCAGGGCTCCTATTGAGAATAGCTTCCTAAAGATTGGGAAAGCCGAGATCGATTCAGGTGGGGAGTTGGTGGGAAATGGTCCCATCGTGGCTAGGCTTTGAATGGATCTCTCCAATGCACGGGTTCGGGACCCGGTTCCACCCAGGTCGAGGGTAAAGGTCGCAAGCGCCCTAAGACCAGAAACACTCTGGTTCCCTTTAAACCAGAGGGTTGGCTACAGTGCCCTTTGTCCAAGGTGACCATGGGACCATGGGCACGGGAGCAAATGGCTCCCTCAGCCGATTTTGTCCGCAGCCACACGCTCGTGTGGCGGACAGCGGCGAACGCAATTACTCCCCGTCCCTACATCCCGCTTCCCTGTAGACTGATAGCTCTCAGAACCCTTGGATTACCCACCGCTTGGTCAGACCCCGTCCTGTAGCTTGTGGGTGTTACCAAGCGGGTTTCCTTCGGATGCGGATTAAACAAAAACACACGACGTCCTGCGCGCTTGCTCTCGGAACATTTTTGAGGGGTCGTGGGAAACCGATGCCAGGAGCCCCTGAAGACTCTCAGCCCTGAGTCACTGCGCGAGGCGCCATGGTGATTTGGGGCACCCTGGCTTTGGGGATCTCGTTTGGGACTCATTTCTTGAGTTTTGAGTTGGATTCCTCGAACGATGTAATATGAACTCAATTAGTTAGAGCTACAGGCCAATCAATTCATTGGATACTGTATGGTTTCCTTATCTGGTTGATTTCGAGTGAGAATGTCAGTCCGCACGGATTTCTTAGAGAGATGAAGGAAGTTGCTTGCCCCGAACAGTTCGGCATGGCTCCGTTTGATGGCTCTAGACTCAGCTCCACAAATTCATTTTGCATCCGTTTGGATAGGTGGCGTATCCCCTTATTCGTTTGGTTTGATCCATCCCAACTGGTGCCCGGCAGCATGCCAATACGTGGGGCTGAAAATCGCGTGGCGTTGGTTGGGCCCTGTGGCTTGCCAAAAGCGAACCGAACGTTCCGGCTGCGCCGAACATTTACCGGGGTTCAACCCGAAATTCTGAAAGGGAAAACAAGATCTTTGAGCCTAAATGTGACACAGGGGTTTGGGAATGAACCTCGGGATTCCCTTAAAGGAAGCCATAGGGGATGGTGTGTGGGGGTCATTCCCTCATTCCCTGCAAGCAAAAGAAACACAAGAATGCAATCTCGACTCTTTCGAACATACCCGAGGATCAGAGCCGAGTGAGAGAAAGGCGCAGATTTCAGCCAGTTTACTGAACGAGCAGGCAGCAAAAGATCTTGGCTCGATCCCTTGGTCGATTTCAGAGTGAATTCTCATACTTCTCCCAGACCAAGTTTTTTTTCTTCTTTCTCGCATGATCCCCCCCGCCCCCCAAAAAAACAAGAAAAGAAGATGGGTATGGGTCAAAATTAATCCACCAAAAAAACTCAGGTTTTTGGCCTTGTTTCCATACACCAAGGGTTCATTTTGGGGTTACCCTATTTTTGACCCACCCCCATATCAATCAACCCCAGCTTGTTTATAGGGGTGTGTGTCCCTGGGTTTCGTGGTTGGATTCAGATCACTTTTGGAGGGGCCCCGCGAACAGCCCCACCCTCATGGTTGATTAATCCGGAAGCAACATTAAAATGACCAGATGGGTGTGTTGTTTTTTCAGGGGTCCCTCGACATATTGTGGTTTTCCTCTTGGTTTCCGCACCTTCAAAGACCTGAGGAGTTGGTGCGTTTCGATCCGTGTCTCTCGGTCGCTCGGTCGCTCGGCTTCGGATTGCAGGCGGTGCGACAGCTGATCGTCCCGGACAGCGCCTTCCGCGCCAGCTGCGCCAAGCTCGGGGAGGAGGCCATCCGAACGTAGCGGGTACTGATGGAGAAAATCCATTTGGCTGTGGGTCAAAACCAATGGTAGCATTTTGGGTAGAGGTGCACCACCCTTTTTCGTCTATTTTAGTGAGGATTGGGATGTTCACTGGGCGTACGGGGTTTCGACCCATGGCCATTTCGCGCCGAAAGGAACCCTGTGATTCGTTTCCCCTAACGTAAATGCCAACAGTGGTTTCAACCATGGTTTCAAAAATGGATTTCGTCCAGCCGCAGTTCTGATGGACAAAATCCATTTCGCACCACTTGAGCAGTTGGGTGGTTTATCCAGGATTTTCTTTTTCATGTATCCTAAGTGCGAAGCGGATTTTATCCTCAGTAAGACTCAGGTAAGCCTCCGTCGGTGGGATTTCAACCCCTGGCTGGGTCGCTACCCCAAATTCGGGTGTTTGGGGAATGGGGTCCCCCAAAGCTTAGGCGTGTTTGCGGCGCGGGGTTCCGGACTGTTCCAAGATGACAAAGACAGGGTAGAGAATTGGTGAAAGGAAACCAGATTCTACAGACTCTTGTCTTAGAGGACATTGCGGATGGTGCAAGATCATTTGGATGTGTCTCAAAATAGAGGACCCATTTTAGATGGTTTCCTTCAAATGGCAGATGCTGAGCCATGACTGGAACCTCAACGAAATACCTGATATTGATATTAAAGTTAATATATTAGACATAACCCTAATCCTAATATGCATACTAGTATTAATCAAGATCTGTATTAATATTCATATTGATATCAATATATGTACATATATATATATATATATATAAGTGTCATATGGTGCACTCTACTGACATGGCATGGGAAATGGCATGGGCCTCAAGCCTCCACCTTTTGTAGACGCGTCGCTCCACACAAAAATTGGACCGGCGCTTGGCAGGTGGCACAGGCGGGAGGTGCTGCCAAGGCGGCGGAGCTGGTGCTGGCGGTTGGGCGCGCGCAGACCTCCAAGCTGGGCGGGGCCTGAGCTGAGGCGGGCGGTTTGGAGGGGTTGGGGGTTGGGGGGTTGGAGGGTTGGGTTGGGGGGTTCTTGTTTTTGTTGCAATCATGGCGCGCTGCAATCATCTGGCTCAAGGCATGATTGTGATGCACCGGCACGAAAAAGGGGATCCCCTAGTTCCGGTGTCAGGGGGTTTGGGTATGCGGTAGGTATTTGTTATGGGGTAGGTATTTCCGGTGCCATTTGGGGTCACCAAACCTTCCTATGGTTGTCAAGCAGCCAGCGCCCAATATGCCCAATATGTCTCTTGGGTCCAGTACAGGGGCCGTTGAAAGGGAGATACTGATGAAAAAGCCGTGACAATACGTAGGTTTCCGTGGAGACTATTTTTAGGGTTCGAGTCTGCCAAGACACTGACTAAGTCGGGGGAATGGTGGGGAATCTCCTTTTGATCGTCTTTTGGCGTCCTGTCTTTTTCTTGTTTCTCCATTGTTTCCGATGGAGGGAATTGAGGGTCCTTCGCATCTTGCGGGAACGTATGGACTCGGAAAAGTCGACGTATGCACGGGACCCACCCGAGGTTCATCAAGCCGGTGGATCAAAAGGTTGTCTTTGCAGAACCGATCCGGATTCCTCTTCAGATGGGACACCCCGCAAATGTCGACCCAGAAACACAGCAACCGTAAACTCATAAATTTTAGTAGACACCCTATGAATCAGAATCAAGGGGATGCTGATTTGACAAGGGAGCCCCAGCGTTGAGTGTTTCTGTCAAAAGATCGAGATGGTCAATTTGGGAGAGACAAGGGGGCCCTCTAAACTTCCCACAAAACCAGAGAGAGAGAGAGAGATAGAGAGACGGACGAACCAACGCTTGAAAAGTGAATGAACAAAATGAACCCAAATCCGAGTTGATATTTTTGGGGGGTGTCACAAAACGGTTCCTCTGGTTGGTGTCTAAGCAGTGGTGTATTGCAATATGTTTGAACGTTGCTGTTAATCACTTGGCTTCACGCCGAGAATCACACTTGGAGGTCTTTCACAGAAGAAGACGTGGGGTCGAGCGAATTGTTCTTCGCCTTTTGTAGATTCAATTGGATTTTCCCCCTAGCGCCATAGGCCTGAGGTCGGAATGCCTCTAAAAGACGACCATACCTGTGAAATTCAGGGTTCGGACCCCCAAAATGGGTGGGTTCCCTTTGGTGTCCTGTTAAACCAACCCCGAAAAAGGGTGCCCCTAGAAAAAGACAGGCTCAGGAAAACATTGACCAACGGGTTTCCTTCGGTTCTCCATTCAAGGCTTGCCATTTGCCCTGGGGAGCAACACGGCTTGATCCGAGTGACCATCTAAAGCGCACAACTGAGTGCGGGGCTGAAGTTTTGCTGGCCACGCCAATTCCTTGCCCCCTTCTCTTGGTTGCTCCAAAGGCGAGCCTTTGAACTTGAGCTTTGGAAGGGACCTACCCCACAACACGAGCCTTCCTTTTCAGCTCTACTGCACCAGTTTCGGCGACACTTTCTCCACCGACGCTGCGGAGATGTGAGTGCTAAGGCTCGCAAGAAGCCCTTAGCACCGCGCGACTTGTTTTCGGTTTCGGCAGTGGGGTTTCTTTGACATCCTTTGCCCGAAGCCAAGATTTGCATGTGGACTCGCTGTTGAGCGAGCCACTTTTTGGGGTTTGCACTTGTACAGAGGGAGACAGGTTCCCTGGATCGAGCCGGGTCGGCTTGGTCTGGCAAGCAGCCCTCCAAGAGGAGGGCGAATTCCTTTGAATTCGAAGAGCTGAATCTTAAATCTTCCATTTGCTGAAATGAGTGTTTGTTATTTCCCTTGTCGGTGTGAATCACTACTGGACTTTCGCTTTTTTCTCCAGGGGACGCGTTCGCAAATGGAAGAAGTCGAATCCGGCGGTGTCTTCGGCTACATAGCCGAGCTGCGTTTGCGGATTCGGATCATTTCTCGCTGGTCACGCAAGCTGACAGCCCGCTGATCTCGCGATCTCGCGAGCGCCGACAACGTGCAGCGGCGGAAAACAGCATCTTATCGCTGGTTTGGGTGTGTCATTTTTTAGGGGACTCCCAAAAATGGTGGGTTTCCTCCGTGGTTTCCCTAGCCTCCCCCCCCCAAAACAAAAAACAATGAACAGAAGGAAAACAAACACAACAAACAACCGCACACACACACACACAAAAAAAAAATACGAGAGCCGCCCCCCCCCCCAAAAAAAAAAAAAAAAAAAAAAAACCAAATCAAACGAGAAGAAGACCCACCCGCCTGTTGCCGATGCACTGCGACCCATTTGTTGCAAGGCTTTTGCTTTTTGGGCTGGGCTCTTCCGAACTAAGGGCTGTCTCTGCCTGTGCTCGAAAACGTCCTATTTAGGGAGGCCCTCTCATCTCACAAAGAACATCCTCAGGGGCTCAATCAGTGAAATGGCTCCCCTTAGGTTTTTAGATCGTTTGGTTGGTTTAGTGGTACCACACCACCAAAAGTTGTTGGCTTGCAGGGGATCGAAGGGGAACAACCCAGATTCTTTGTTGTTTGCCGAGTTGTTTTTTCTATCTTCCGTTGGGAAGAGGGCTTCCCAGCTTCCCACCCTAAAGATGATGTTTCTGGTTTCGGGCTCGTGAATGGCTTTTGTTGTTCCCCGCAGGTGGATGCTCCCAGGATTTGGGAAGAACTTTCGAGGTACTCAGCAAATTTCATGTTACTCGCAGGAAGCGTATCTCCAAAACACAGATCCCACGTGCAGCATGCAAGTTTTCAAAGGATGCCACTGACTTTTACATGCAACTCAAGCACTGGACTGGGCTGGCGATAGTGGAACAGCTTGACTGAAGTGCTTGACGCTGCACAGCTTCACTGGGCTGGGCTTGACTGGACTGGGCTGGACTGCCTTGGGCTAGTTGAAGTTGTCGGGCCGAGCTAGCTGAGGCTGTGCTGGGCCAGGCTGTTTGTTGGGCTAGGCTGAAATAGACGTGAGCTGAGCTAGGCCAAGGCAGCTGGGCTAGGCTGAGCTAGGCTGAGCTAGGCTGAGCTAGGCTGAGCTAGGCTGAGCTAGGCTGAGCTAGCTGGATTGAGCAGAGTGACCCAAGCTGGACTGGGCCAGCTGGGCTTGGCAAGCTGACTGGGCTGGGCTGAGCTGAGCTGGCTGGGCTGGACTGGGCAAGACAAGCCTGGACCGGCCTGGACCGGCTTGACACGAGGGCATCCGTTTGTTTTCAACCAAGCAAGGAAGGACACCCATGCTATCCCGTGAAGCAGCTGCTCTCTTGATGCCCGACCCAACTTCGCTCCCCGCGGCCTTTGCATCCGCTCAAGCGCGGTCTGCGGGAAGAAACTCCCTCCCGCCGTCGCGTTCCTTCGGAACTGAACTCTTCCATGCCCAGGTGGCGCGAAAGGCGTTTGAGCCGCGCCTTTTTCCCCGAAGACGGAAGAGCACCAATGCAAACATCAAAAGCACACAAACCACTGCAGAATAGAACAAGCAACCATCAATACAACAACCAATGCAACAAACACTGCAACACGCAGTGCAACAAACAATGCAACAACCGCCACACTATAGTACAACAAAGAGTCGTAAAGAAAGCAAGTGCCTCCCAGCCGACATGTTCCAGGCAAAGCGCAAAGGCGAGTTCAGTCCGCATGTGACGCCATGGGGCATGGACTCCGGCTTTTGCTGCTGTGCTTAAGCGCAGGCAGGGGAGATGGGAGGTATATCCCTCCGAGGCTTGCTGCCTGTCATTTGGAACCCTTCTACGGTTGCAGAGGTGGGGATGGGTCTTTGACATTTGGGGGTGCCAACTCCCCCCTGGCCGAAAGTCTCTTTGTTGATCTTACATTCTTGAGTCCGGCTTCCGGCAAACCGAAATCCTTCCACCCCCCCCGTGTGCTTTTCTCCCAAATTCCCAACAAAAGTGTCCAACAAGCAGCGATCGTAGCGGGATTCCTTTCTGCTGCTTTTGTCCCATGTCCAGGCACAAGCCGTGGCCAACGTGGCCTTGGCTTAGGCCAGCGGTCCGGTGCGGGTTTGGCATGTCTCGGCCTGGGCGGATCCGTTGCGTGGGTTTCTGGGAGTGAACTAGCAGCACTCTGAGATTCTGGCCTCCCTCAACAGCCGAAGGAGGCTTTGTCCTCTTGAAAGGGTCTAGCAAAAGAGTGTAGAGACGATGGCAGCAGCCGCGACCACGCCTACTATCGGCAACCTGAGTTGGCAACCTGATTGATCAATTTTGTTGGCAGTACACTCCCTCAGACCAAAATGGAAGCTCCCAGAAGGCCTCTGCAAATGGAACCAAGTCTTTTAAAGGGGTCCTGGGAGCTTCCATGTTAAGAGTCATTTCATCATTTCCCAGGGCCAGACACTTGGATTTCTTCGCCGCGGCCTGCATGTTTCAAGGGGTACCCCCCCCAAAAGTGGAAGGAGCATCGGTATATTTACAGGAGGGATTCCACAGTTCTACTGTTCTTTGTCACATGTTTAGGATGAGTCCTGTATGGACCTGATCTGTTTATGCCTGTTTGTTTTTTTGTGGTGTTTTGCGACCTTTGGCCCTTTGAACATCTTTTTTGTTCTCCTTGTTTTGCTTTCTGTTCAAGATCCAAGCACCTGAGAACTCGGGGTGCGGTTGGGTTCTCACGCGACGCCCCTAGCCCGCGCGCGCTGTGCGCAGGCTCGGAGGCCGAGCTCTGCGACGCCAGGCGGGCGAAGCACCTGTGTAAAACACGGGGGGGGGGGGGGTTGATGGATGCTTTGGAGGGCAACATGTCTCGCCCTCTCCTTCTCTTCTCAAACTCCTCTGGGGTTTTTCGTGGCAAAGGGGACCGATCCCAGCCCGCGAGCGAGGCATGGCTGCGGAGAGGGCCTGGGCTTCATGCAGATGGGCTCCCAGGAGAGGAGTTTGGGTCGTGGGGAGTCGGAGGTTTTTTCGGCACCACCGCAAAACCACCCTTTTCCAACAAGAGTGGACTTTTGGCCCTTTGCACGAGGATGGTAGTCTTCCCAAACCCATCGTCTACTTTCCTGAGGGTCCTTTGTAAACCCAAGAAAGGGGGCAATCTTATGTCCTTGAAGGGATTCGGTCCAATGCAAAGGCAGGCTGCGAGTCTGGAGTTTTCAAACTTGGGCAGTTCAAGCGCCAAGCCAACCCAAGCAACACCCCATAAGGGTAGAAGAAGATGGGCAAAGTTGCTCAATCGCCTCCCTCACAAAAAAAAATGGTGTCCGACCGGAAAGAAGCATGAAGGCTCCTTTTTTGGTTTTGTTTCCTTTGGTTCCAGTTGGTGAAATTGAAACATAGTTTCCACATTGGGTTGAACCGCGCCTTCCTTGAGCTGTGGATGTCAATGCATAGCAATATACACCCAAATAATGACGTCTATATGGAAAAGCGATAGTCATTACAAGCTGTAATCACAGTGGTTTCATGTTGGTTGCCGTTTGTCGCAACAACCGCTATCGGACATGATCAACACACCCACCAAACGCCATGGTTTTGGCGAAGTCTTTCTACTTTTCGACCACTATAAGTTAAACTCTTAGCAGGGGATCTGCCCAGATGTACGGCCTGGCAAAGGGCTCTATCAAGGGTAGTTTCTATGGGTGTGGGCACGCAGGGTATACATCACTTATGTAAGGGGTACAGCCCAACATCCATCAAAAAACCGTGCCAACGTGACATGACTTGCTGGTTTGATAGAAAAACCATCCCCTATGGTTTCCTTCAAGGGACTCCCCTTCCGGTTGTATTCCCAACCGCACCAGGCGCTGAAATCGCCTTCGATTTCGGCGAAGTCTCCCAAAGCGGCCGAGCCCGCGGCTTCCGAGGCGGGGCTCCCAGGGTGGTTTAAACGTGTCCTTTTGCTGAGGATACCGTAGATACCCCTGTTTTTTGCGTGGCTTTATCAAGCAAACGCGAACACACCCATGCTCTGTGTGTGTGTGTGTGTGTTTTGAGGCTCGGTACACTTGAACGAAAGCCACTAGTAATCCAACGTGTTATTTTGACCCAGGTGCGGCAAGGAGCCCTTTTGATTCTTTGCATAATTAAGTTTGGGAAGACCACTTTACTAATGTTGACCCCGGAGCCAAAAGTGATCGATCGGATTCTCACTAAAAGGGCACCATCTCTCAAAATCAACCAGGGGTCTGCTTAAATCTGGTGTTCCCATAACTCGTTCAACTTTAGTTATAACATAGCCTGATGTTCAGTACCATGTTGAACCTATTTCCCAGGTTTTGGTTGTGATTCTGTCCAAACTTTGGTTTTGGTCCAAACTTTGACTTGCCAGAGTTAGCCGCGAGCCTTCGCCGAGGCCGGGACCACACAACACCGTCGATCCGTTTCCGTGCTGCCCGGGCGGCCCAGATCGAATGAAGGACACGGAAACCAAGCAACGTTGCTGGGGTCAAATCGAGTCTGTTTCTGGAGGCAACCACAAGTCCGAGGATGGAATCGGTTGTTTCCCTCGAACCCACCACTGAACGGGCTCCCTAAATTTCCAATCTGACATCAGCAAAAGTGAGGCATTCATTTTTGATTTGTGGGCTTTCACACATCCATTTGAAAGTGGTCCCAACAACTGGGGTGCACAGTTCTATAAGGGCCCCTCGGGATTGCTCAATCCCGAGGCAAGCGACGACGACAGCGTTGCCTGGCCGCATTTAACACTCAAGATTCGGGTGGAGCGGGGTGACCACTCGACCAATTGCTACATTGGCCTATTTAAAGCCCACTACCCGCACTCTTGGGATATTGCAGCATTTTCAGGGTTCAGAGCTGTTCCCCACTGTTGAAACCAAAAGGTGGTTCCGAGCCGATTGCTGGTTGTTTTGAGTTGGTTTAGCGGTTGGGTTTCCATCTATATAGCCCACTAAATGGTACACTTTCGGCAAGGGATCAGTCTGGACAGCCATCCGTTAAATTCCCTGTTTTGGGAGATCCTCTTTTGGGAGTTGATATTGGTCCGGAGACTTGTCCTTTTTGAAGCAACCACACACACACACACACAAATAACCCAAGTACGATGCTTTGGGAATCCCTGGCATCAATTCTCGTGGTTTGTGTTTGACGCAATATGTGGAGAATCACCAGTATCTCCCCCCACACTCTGTTCTTCGGCTGGCATGAGGCTGAAGGCTTCTCAGGGGTTATGTGTGTGTCTGTTTTGAGTCTACCATTGGCTTGTTTTAGAGGGAGAACTGGGAACCCAACTCAGTTGTCCACTATTCTGAGACGAAGCCTAGGCCTAGGCAAGCGAATCGACCTCCGACACAGGTTCAACTTTGGTCCAGTTGCCGATCCAAGAGGTGAGCACTTTTTCACAATTTGGTCAACGTGCGCCCAAACCAAACATGTTGAAGCCGCTTTTCAGGGCAAAACAACTCTCACTCTGCTTTTTCTCTGTGGGGACTGAATCGGGGGTGGTTTGCACCAAGACTAGCCCAGATCCCCTGCGAACGGGTTGCCCAGAAAGGGTGTGCTTTTCGCACAGGAAGGTTCTGACCCAGGATGGGTTCGGCACATTTTCTCGGGTTCCAGGTTTCAGACCTGTGGCCTTCCATCAGGCATGCCAAACCATTCTTCACATGGCTTCCTCTTTCTAAACCATGCCGCCAAGCAAGGTCCTCCTTGATCCCCCAAGTTTTATTGATCACGAATTTTGCCCCCCCCCTCTCCTGTTGAAAGATGCAGGAATGAATTCTTTTGGAAAGAGGGGTCCACCAGTTCCGACCTATCTGAAGACATCTCCGGCATTGATCCCTCCTGGCGTGCAAGCTTCTTGCGAAACGACACCAGCACAAGTTACTTGGGCTTGACAGGGACGTTCGGACCTGTTGGGATTCTAGACAACAACATCCATTTCGCAGCATCTGGAATTGGTGGTTTATCAACCAGACTTCATAGGGTTTCATTTCTCCCAAGTGGCGCGAAATGGATTTCAATGTGAAGCATCCTGCCTTGATTGGACACCCTCTATTAATCAATCAGTCAACATTCTGGTATGTATCTCTGCATCCGCCGGAGCTAGCAGCCAGGTTCATAATCAGGGGTCAACATGGGTGTGTCGTTTTTAGGGGACTCCCCAAAATGGCTTCGGGTTCCTTTGGTTTTCCTTTCAACAACCAACCCCAGAAAAGGTTCCAACTCCATCTTCCGACCGCTTGAGCTTTGCTTTTGAGATCAGCTTGTCACCTTCCATTTGTTTGTGACTGAGGAAGAACGTGGGCGACTACAACGACGGGTCCTTGATCTTGCGTTGAGGGTCCTCTATTGTTTGGATCAACGTTTGGTCAAATCGCTCATTTTTACCCTTCCTTGAAATTATGATAAGCAACAATTGAGTGTCGGGTGTGTGATTGAGCAGTGTTTTTTTTCCTTCTAAGGCCATGAGGCATGGCCAATTCCAGCCTGTTATTTTCCTGTCTCTCCCAAAACCATTTGTTTTGAGACTCGGTGGTCTGCAGAATTTGGAAGAAATCCCCACAAAAAAAATGAACCCGCTACTGCTAACTGCGGGGGTGTATCGAGGGCGAGGGCTTCAGTTTACCGCACGCCGCTGTTGGTCCCTGATTCACTGACTCCAGGATCCGAAACATGTATTTTTCCCCGTTCCGTTTGTGGGGCAATTGAGTCCAACCCAACCGAGCTTCGGTCAAAGCTTCCAGCAGTCTATGGTCCATTTGGGAGCGACATGGGGGACTCACTAGAGTTTCGCACACATGTTGCCATGTCCACTTGGGGGAAACAAATCATTTTGGCCGTGGAACATCCGGGAATCGTCACTTTTTGAGGGGAACACCTGTTGATAGGTCGGGTTTATCCATCGCACTGGATTCGGGGGCCAAGGCGCTACTGTGGCAGGGTCTTTGTAGCTTAAACAAAGGATCATGTAGAGCCTGGGCGCTATGCTTGACGTTTGTTTTCAAGAGCCAAAGGCAGGGTTCGTATATGTCAGTTTTTTGGGGTACCCCCAAAAACCGTGTTTGCCTTTTGGTTCCCTTTCAACTAACTCAAAGCAAGGGGAGCCCTATTAGGGGTGTGTGTCCTTGACAACTACAGGATGGTCAAAGGCATGTTGGGGTTTCCATATTCTGTTTCGAGACAAACCCATCCAGTTGAACCTCTCTGTCAGGGAGCGCCGTTGCTGTGAGGACGGGGCCATCGTCTTTTCGGGCATGCTCTGCGTGGTGGTTATCTACTTGCTCGTCCCGCCGGCATGGCTTCGTAGGATCCAAGCTCCCAACCTCCCGGACTCCCCCAACCCCGCCTCGCCCTTTGGCCTAAGCACGCGGTTTGGATTGGTGGTTTGGATTTGGAATTGAACGGCTACCCCATGTAAGCCATGACATGCCAACCCATGACATCCAATGGAGGTTTCACCCGGCTTCCTGGGAAACAAAACAAAGCAGCAAGACCATGCCTTTGGTCGCGAGAAAACCGCGCTAGGCGGGCTCCGTGATGAGCAAATGGCTCGGTTGCAGTGAGCGTGTTGCCATCGTGTGCCTGTGAGGGGGGAGGAGTTGGGTCCCGTTTGAAAGGCAGGGAGCGGTCACTTGAGATTTGCCGAAAGGTTCTGCGGCACTTCCCGGAGCCAGCCGTTTTTTTTTTGTTTCTCCAAATATTACCGCCCGGGGGTGACTTTGGCTGCAAGACTGCGGGACCCCACAAATATTGAGGGTCACTTCCGTGAGTGGAAGTTCGGAATACCCATTCTGGCTTCTGGGATCTTGGACGAACCAGGTCCCGTCAACCACTTTGCGCGTCTTTTGCGGCGCTTTGCCAAATGCCTTGCAATCAGCTGGCACCGCACCAGCTAGCCGGGTTTCAGTCGAACGTATCGATGCCAAGGAGCTGAACAGACATTCGCGTTGAGGGTGATTGTGCACCTTTTGGGCGGATGGTTATTCAAGTGACGATTTCTTCACCTAAACTATTTATTGAATTGTTTCACAGGGCTTCCCATTTACCCTGTTCATGCGCTGTTCTTCCAAGCGGACTGCAGATGTGCCAGACATGTGGGACGAACCCTGACATGATTTCCACTACAAGGTCAACGTGGCGCACCCTTTAAAGTCAGCTTCAATAGAGTCCCGCTTCGTTTGTTCCCCCCTGGAATCTAAATTTATTCCCAGGCCCTTTTGGCTTTCCAAATGAGTTGTGCCTTCCCCGAGAGCCCCGGCGGGTCGTTGGTCTTGTGACCTGAGGCTCAGGGGAGGATCTCGGCGCCACCACGGCCCCTGTGGAGGGGAGGCGAGCCGGTTGGGTTCCTTCTGTCCGGTGCGAGCGAATGGCAGCTCCCTACTCGGCTCTTGGACGAAATCCATTTCGCAGTACCTAAGAAACGCTGGAATAGATTTCTTCTACCCACAGCATCATCCACTCAAAGGGTGGGTCGGCCGAAGTATCCTGAATTGGTGGGGACACGGGGGGACCTGATTTTTTTTTCAGGTGCTTTACGAGAACCGTATATTTTGATGGTGGCTTGTATGGGCTGATCTCCATATTCCACACTTTGGTGGTTTTCAACTTCGTTGACCTTTACAACGGGTACCCTCAAACAAATATGGCTCCATATCAGCAACACGTTGTCTCTAGTTGGTTTTGCAGGTTGATGAGAGCCGGTTTTCGGTTTCCCGTGGGTTTCTGCCTGCTAGCCGTTTTGTAGCCGGCGCCACCACCTTGGATTCTATGAAGGTCACGGCAAGGCCTAAACACTTAAACGGACATCACTCGGTTTTTGGTGCTGCTCGCATGAGCGTGCTGTTTTTAGAGCGATCCATTGCTTTCCCCACAAAGCAAGCTAAACGAAGGCGCCATCAACGAGGTTTGTGGCAGTTAGAAGAGTCGTTCCTTTCCTTTTCTTGGATTCTTTGCCGGTGCCTAGTTCCAGTCGGTGAATAAAACATACAGACCCCATGAGTGTTGATGCTGACACGCATCTGCCTTTTGAAGCCACACCAGCCTGCGGATATACTCGGTACCCGAAACTAATGCAGGGGGGGGAAGACGCTTGGAGCTTTTGGAATTGCTTTGGCGGTTCCTAGCCGTCCGGTTCCTTTTTCTTTCCGCGTTTTAGGTTTTCTTTTAAGGTTTTTTGGAGGGTCTTCAGTTGTTTTTTTGGTCTTTAAGGCTTTTAAGTTTGTTTTGTTTTCTTAGGGTTGTTAAGGCTTCCATTCGACCCACACGTTTTTGCCACTTTCCGCAGCGGACCAGAGAGGCTGCAGAACTTTTACCAGCGCACCACCTCCTGGGTGATGCCCCGCATGGAGACCTGCCCGGGCTCCCTTTGAGGGGTGTGGGGGCTTTGTGGGTTTTGGGAGCTGTGGTCGTCCGCGGGGCTTCAAGGTGGCTTGAAGAGACGCGGTTTTGGGCATTTTATGGGGTCCAAAGTTTTTGTTTTGTTTTGTTTTGGGGGGTGCACAGACACTTGCAGGTCATTTTGCAGCCAAGAACCCTGAACATCAATTGCTGCAGCATAGGCTTTAAGTGAACGGGAGGGGGGGGTGGTGGTGTTTTGGGCATGTCATGACACAAGAAGGGTTTTGGATATTTTTGGCATGTGACGCGAAAAGGTGTCACAGAAAGGGGCGGGGAACATGTCCGGTTCTATCACAAAGGCACCCTCATGGGCGTGGTTCGTTTTTTTAAAGCTCGGTCCCCTGCTCCCCTTTTTGTGTGGTCTTAAAGGAATCAATGATGAAAACCGCTGTTTTGGGGCCAAATGGGATTGCCTCTAAATGGGGAAACCCCCAAAAATGGGGTGGGTTGCCTTTGGTTTCCCTTTAAACCAGTCCCAAAAAGAGCAACCCCGACCATCCGCCAAACACCGCCAAACAGCGTCAGAATCGTGGGTCTCCGTGTTCGAAACACAGAACAAGGAGGGCCCTTGGTTTGGCTTCCAAAGGAAGACCCACCTAAACACGGTGACCAACATTGGTTTCCTTTCATCCGACGCGCAGGGGACTCTGAGGTCCCTGCCGATATCCTCTTGGGTACAAGCAGCTTCCTATTTTTGCGAAGAAAACAACACCAGAAGGCTGCGGGAGCAGCAGCTACAACATGTCGAAGCACGTTGAGTCGCCCAACACTGGTGAAACGCATTGCCAAAGAAAAACGTCACTTCAAGGAGCAATGTTTTGGAAAGGCACTTGATCGCGTTTTTTTGGGGGCTGATACGGTTGACGCCAGCAAGGCAATCAGCTTCCAGACCCCTGGGTCCTTGGGTTATTGGCACGTTTTTTGTTTTTGTTTTTAATTGCGTGTGCTGGTCTTAAAGGGAGATCTGGCCCTGCTGGCGTTTGTTTTTCCTCTTTTCTTGGAAAGGCAATGGCCATGACCGGTGCACATCTGCTTAGTGGCGTCAAGAAAACAAATGGGTGGCTCAAAAATACAGAGCTAGGTTTATGCAGGTTTTTGCCTTGTTCCATGTGCCACGTTGCCATTTTGGTAAAACAGCCAAATGGGAAGAAGCGTCATTTTATCGCGACCGTCTCTTGCATGAAGCGTGCGCCCGAGTACAAGAGATCCTGCCCTGCGTGAGCACGAACCTGGTGGCGGGGCGCCCAGCGGAGCTTGTGTCTGCGTGTGTGTGTGTGTGTGTGTGTGTGTGTGTGTGTGTGTGTGTGTGTGTGTGTGTGTGTGTGTGTGTGTGTGTGTGTGTGTGTGTGTGTTTGTGTGTGTTTGAACCCTGTGGATGGACGAAATCCACCACCGCACCACCGCTGAGCAACCATCCACATGAAGGCCAGCTGTCTGATTTCTGAGCTCGCTCGACCCAACCCAAGGACACAATGGCCGCTTTTTCAGATGGATCCGGTTAAATCATTCCGCTTTGGCAGGGCTCCTTAAAAGATACATTTTGCCCATTTGAAGCATGGCTTTTTCCACCAAAATAAAGGGAAACCACCATTGACAAGGCAATGTTCAGGTGTACAATGTAAGGATCCCTGTTTGGCAATTTAAAGGTTTCTTCAAGGATCCGGTGAATTCCCCTTGCAGGGTCTGGTTTAGACAAATTTTGCCCAGCCTTGCGCCAGAGTCCTGAAAAGCCCTGGACCCACGGTAAGTAAGAGGTGTGACCAACCGCAGTCCACAAGTTGACTGTCAGCTTTTCCGCACAACGCATATCCATTCCTTTTGAGGACAGACACTCGGCCCCCGCTCCCAAGAACGCCTTCCAACAGAAGAAGCTTCGACGAACCTTTCTCAACCACCCCCCTCGATCATTGCCAGGCTTGACCACCCTTTTTTGCCCTTTGCCTTGTAGCCAGCAACAAGCGACAAAGTTTCAACAACAAGTCCACTTTTTGCAGTTGGTCCTGGCATTGTGCCAAGACAAAGCCACCAAGCAACACCCCTGCCAAGACAACTACTGAAGCACAAAGTGCCGCTTTGCCACCCCCCCCCCCATTTGGCCAGACGTGGCCACCCTGAGACGTGGACTTTGTTTGGTCCGAGTTCCGAACAAGACGAGATCTCAGGGCGCGTCCGCAGACATGCCGCTGCTGGTGCCCCTGAAGTCTCTGGAGGCGGGCCGGTCCTTTTGATCGGTGAGTTTGATTAGAAAGAGATTGGTTCCACTGGCTTAGATTGGTTTAGTTTCTGTCAGAGGCCATCAATTTTTCCTACAGGTCACCTATGGTTGCAAGGCGTCACGGGTCGAAACGCGCACGGAGCGAGGACATCTTCTTTTCCGCTTTTGGTGTATGACAGCCAACCAAAAGTGGGCACCCTCCCAAAACAGGCACCCTTGTGGCACCAACCAAAAGGAGGTCCGAATCCCATTTTGAGAGCTTGTGGAAACTCGTGCAATCGAGATCCCACACCCAACTACAGGTTGTTGAAATGGTTTCTTGGTGTTGGGTCCCGAAATGACCCTTGGACTTGTTGGAAGCAAATTGCCAGTTTCGCAAAGCTCGCACAATTGTGGGGCCACTCGCATTTTTGCAGGGGGGGCTTTTGAACCATACCAGGAATTTGGTGGGTGCTTCTCTCAGGTTTTGCCCATGAATCCACGCGGCCGGTGGTGTTTCGTGTAGGATGTTGGCTTCATGTTAAAACGGGGCGCGAGATCCGCGGATTTGTCCAGGAGAGGGAGAAGATGCAGAACCTCGCAGCCTCAGCTTTTGCAGGCGCCGCGCGGTCCGGTCGGTCGCTTCGTCGTTCCTGTTCAGGGTTCCTGTTTCTGAATTTCTGGTGTTTTGGCCCACCGACATGCCCAACCGTCCACGCAATGTCAACCTCGGATTTATCTGGAGGACCCCGCTAGTCAGAGCCCCCTAACATAGATATCACTTCCGCCTTAAACCTAAAGTGTTTTTCTCTTCTGGGGGGAGGGGGCCTTCCGCCGGACTCAAAGCGCCTTCCCCAACTCATCGACTCCTCATCGGATCGGCGCGCAGGCTGGTCCACGCAGCTGCCGGCCAATGTCGCCTGGCACTTCGACATCACCAGCGAAGACCTCGGCGCCGGCGTTTGGGACCGGGGGACTCGAGCTTTGGCCAGTCGAGTCCCGAATCGAACAAATTGCATCTTGGGCCCAGTGAGCTTCACTCGGGATCGGAGAGTAGGGGGAGGGGGTTGGCGCCCTGAAGGATCTGGCTTCTCAGGATCGAGACACGAGAAACCCGATTTTTCCCCCACACAGTGGATGGACGAAATCCATGCTCGCACCACCTAAGGAACCCTGGAATGATTCGATTCCCTGTAAATACCGAGCAACACGGTAGCATGGGGCCTCGGAGCTTGGAGCTAGGCATCCTGGGTCAGAAGATCCTGGCGGTGCAGCAAACCAAGCTGCAGGCCGGGACCGCAGGTTTTTTGCCTTGGGTGGTTCGGTTCGGTTCGGCGGGTTCGGGCGCAGGCAGTGAGTAACTGCAAAACAAAGAGGAGGATTTTATTTCTTTGGGCTGACAATCAGAAGGATGAGACCCTTTTTTCGGTGAATCCGCTCGGGAGGGGGCACTTGGTTCCCAAATCACCTCTTTGCAAACGACGAAGCTTAGGTGTTCCTTTTAGGTAAGCTTGGCTAGAAATATGTAGATGGCACTGGCTTAGATTGGATTGATTCCATTTACCAGGGCCATCTAGTTTCCTAAAGGACACCTATTCGGTCAAGTTGAACTTTGACCACCCCTTGAAAGCAGCATGAAACAACTGGGCTTGGTTGCTCTTTCGGGTGACGTACTAGCCCTTTCCAACTCGAACACCGTGGAACTTGGCGGATTCTTCCGGCTTTTTTGGTTTCCTTTTGGTTCCGTTTTGTTCTGGGTTCCCTTTTGGCTTCTTGGTTTCCTGTCAGTGTCTTAAATGAGGTTCCTTTTGGCTTCATTTGGTTATGTGTGTGAAATGGAGGGCTCCCTATTTTGTGACACGCCAAAAAGGGGTGGGGCCCCGTGTATGAGTCCAAGGCTGAATGATACTCTTTTCCCTATGGCTGTGGATGTTCAGTTTTTTTTGGGGGGGGGGCAACTGGATCATACTTGATGTCCAACCAAACATGCGCCTTTGTGTTCATCCAAGCCAATCTGAGGGGCCATTTGTTTTGTCACCAAATGCATTCCAGAGAGCTCAACTCGATTTTAGCCGCATTCAAAACTCTAGGCTGGATGATTGACCTACTCACTTCGAAGAGTCTAAGTTGGAAGCTGGGCAAAAAGAGGGTTGGGGAGTCCCACCATGACACTTCCTGTTGTGTCGTGGTTGCACGACCAGCAATCGCATGTCGGGCACGACCCCTTGCTGTGACACAGAGGGAGCTCTTTGTTTCTCGGAGCATCTCTCTACAGCTTGCTTCCATTTGCTTAAGAAAAAAAAACAAAAAAAACACGATTTTCCCTGGTTGGTTGTAAAGGGGACCTATCACTGGACATTGTTTTTCTCGGGACGAAGAAGCAAATACAAGCTTGTGAAAGCCGGCCGGCCATGGGCACCAAAAGTGGATGAATGAAGTGCTTATGCTTTGAACCTATGGCAACGGCTTCCTGACCGGTTTCTTTCTGGCACAGACAGGGTCTCTCATAGCGGGCTTGAGTTGCCATGATCCCCATGTTGGTTCTCATATCCAACGCGGTAGTGAAAAGGGGAGAAACTCACTTTTGGGAGGATTTTGGAACAGATCTTAGACACCTGTTTAAACGGGGGCTGAATCGCTGATTCAGCCCGACCGGATTGTGCCCTGGCCAAAAACAAGTGGGGTGGGGAATCTTGTAGCTTTGACTATATAACTGGCCCATTTTGTGGTGAACTCACCGAAATCGAGCGTAAAGCCATGATGGCGGTCCTTTACTTGGGGTTTCATATTCCGAATTTTGCAGACTAGTTGCCACAAAGAGAAAGCGGAACGCAACATGAATGTGTCTTGGGCTCCATGTTTTGGAGTCTACAAGGTATTGCAGAATTTCCAGAACTTGGGTTCTTTTTGTTTTCCTTTCGGGTGGAAGCCCTTTATCTCAACTTTTGAGGTCTCAAAATTCCATCATACGGATAAACACCACACACACCGCAGCTCTTGTGTCCTGTTTCGCTCCTTATGATGAACGCTTGTCTATTTTGCAGCTGGTTTGTGTGGGGTGTTGGTTTTTTAAGCCTGGCTGCAAACGGTTCTGAATTTTAAGTGGGAGCCACCTACAAAGTGATTGATGGACGTCGGGTCCCCTGAAACTCCACACCTGTCACCCGTTTCAAGGAGTCGAAGCGGAGTCCAACGGCTTCATCTCGCTTCTGGGAAACTCAACAGCTTTGGGAATGAACCTTGGACCCTCCCCCCCCCCTCCGCCCAAAGCCCAAAGCCCAAAGTGAGGGAGAAACAACAGCGCTCCGATCGAGGATGGGACGCTGGGGCGGGTGGAGGCCGAGGGATCTGGCCGGATCGTGCCGGAGAAGTGCCAATGTGGCACCGCGCCACGAGGAAACCATACCGTTTGTTGCTGTTCACGTTGGGGAATGGAATCCGAAACCAGGGTTTCTGAGCGGTGGTCGCAGATTGCGTGTCCATCCACAGTAGGAATACCCGCCAAAATGCGGAGCCACCTCAAAAGTGGTTGGTGAACAGAAATTCCTCAATGATTCCCATATGAGATTTGATGTTAAATCACGCTTTAGAAACGGTTGGTGGATGCAACACTTACAAGGGCCGAAACGAACAGAATGGGATTGAAGGCTGCTTTCACAGGGGTTCCTTTAAGGAAGCCATGACCATACCCACATTGGAATTCCACCGGTAAACTACTTGGACCAAAGTGAACCCTGTGCCATCTATTTTCACTCCGATGTAAAATGGCTGTGGGCGCATGGGATATGAACATGTAAGGCTCTGAATTTTTGGCCACTCCCCTCATACGCGCGATGTTTTACATGTAATAATAGTTGGTAAACGATCTACCAAAGCGAAACCTGTGGAAGCCATCCAGTTTCAACCAAACTCACTTTTCGGAAGGGACAGGTCTACTCAGATGTGGGCGTGTGCTTTTTTTGAGGGTACAAATTTCACCTTGGTTTTAAGGAGAAACCACATTTTGTTTCTGGGGGGTCCAAATCCCCGTTTTGACACATGACATGAGACCGGCTGGCCGTGGAGCTCACGGCATGAACCCTGAAGGAGCTGCTCAGTCAAGACAGCGAGACCTTGGGCTTTCTGCCCAACGACGGCTGCACCCCAACGAGCACGCGTTCGATGTCGAGAAAACGCCCTCCAACGGCGCAGGTTGTGCACTGAAGAGATCGAAGCAGCTCTACACGAGCGCATACGTGCTGAAAGGCAGATCGCTCGGCCTCAACTTCCAATGAGCCGAGCCCGCGCTCGCGTTTTTCGGGGGGCCAAAACGGCCCAACGGTACCGTCTACGAGGCAAGGAAACCACAGCTTGTGCTTCTTTGGCCACGGCTTTAAGACAAACCTGTGTGAGCGCCGTATCCGTTTCAGGTTTAGGGTTTTGGTGGTTAGGTTTTCGTTTAAACCATGAGAAGTTTTCAACTTTTAGCAGGGGAACAGTTTGGACAGTTACTAAGGCCTTCCCAAGGGGATCTCAGGGTTTTCCAGGTTGGGGCAGGCCTTGGGTTAGCATGATTCTGCGCGGTTCGACCGAAGGTGATCGGCTACCGCGGCAGCGGCAGAGGCGGGCAAAAAGGCGTCCGATCAACAGAACTCCCCGGATAAATGCTGACTTCGGATTAATCCAGACCCGAATGAGAGGAACCCATCCAATAGATATGGCTCAAAATGCAGCAGCTGGGGCAGACCACAGGTTCTGGTCGTTGTTTCCATTTACCAAGGTGCCATTTGGGGATTCCATTTTGAGCCACAACCATTTGATTTTCTCAAGCTGCAAAATGGATCACAATTTGGGGGGGAGTGACACCCGATTCTGCCAGGTTACTTCATGTCAACTTCGGAATCCTCCTTTTCGAATCAGATGCCTAGTTCCCCGCTGAGTAAGGAAGGGCTTGAGATTGAGCTTCACTTGCCAGGGGCCAGTTTTCAACCAAAGCGCCAAGGCACCAAAAGGCGAATACTTTCGCTTCTGGATGGCCTTCTTGCGGATCTGAAGGGGAGCCAAGGGAACCCACTTATGTTGGATGTACTTCGTTAGGTACCCGCAGCCTGCTTCCTTTGAATCAGGGATGCTGTGAACCAACGCTAAGGGCCGTTTTGGCTTCGTAAGCCGAACGAGACCCCTCGTGGGCCTTTTTGGCAGAGGTGGTGGACTTCGTGATCTTGTATTCTGCCACCATCCTCTTTGAGGTATTTGTCTTGAGGATCCATGGAAAATACTGTAACCACTGGGGGTAGGTGTCGATTTCATACAATTCGCACGGCGTCTTGTTGTGGGTACAAAAGAAATACTGCATAACCACTGGGGGGTCTTTCCGATTTCCAGTTGCGGATCAACCTGCAATGGGTCCCACAGCACTGCTACACACACCTTATACAACCAAAATCCCATGTGGGCGTGTCTCTTTTTGAGGGTACCCCCTTTTGGTTGGTTTGAAAGGGGAAGCCAAAAGGAAAACCAGGGGGGGTCCCCCCAAAAAGGACCGACCCATGTAAAGGGGGAAGAAGCCACTGGGCGCATCAAAGGACCATTTGGCACTTTGGACCAAACTTGCACTGGGATCTAAGTCTTGACAAAAGACGCCCTGGCTTCCCAACCACCTGTTTTGGACCCTACTTCGACAGAAGCTATGCATTTTCCTAGATTTGTTTCCAAGCAAACAATTTCAATCACTGTGAAACATGATGTTCCAAACTGCAAAGGGTTTGCATGAACATGTGTTTCTAAGGGTATTGGGTGAGCGCACATCGGTGTGGTTTGGAAGCGGTTATTCTTCTGGGGCAGTGGAAGAGTTCTGAAATGGCAGCAAGGCGACTAGCCCGAGAGCAACTACAGTTTGCACTGAGGGGGTTCCTGCATGGCCATTTGCGTCGTAGCTCATGAAAGATGTCATTTGGCACGTTGCTGGGATTGCTTGAAAAGGAAACCACAGGCCGGCGCCATTTTGGAACCCGGTGCGGGGTCCCTGTTTTGAGCACAGACACAACAGTTAAGCCCAGGGGGTATCCCCACCCCCCTGGAACCGAATATCCGGAACCCTTTCTCTGAAAGCTGCCCCCAACCCCGAACGAGCCGATCTGGGCAGAGACCAAATCCATAGCTTTCAGCTGTTGGTTTGAAAGAGTAGGAACCCCGAAATCAATTCATCTCAGAACAGTACCCCACCAAGACTTTGGTGGTTTGGAGTACAGTCCGAACCCAGTTCCTTTTAACACTGGTTACACCCTAGTCCAAACCACCAAACCACAATCTAGAGGTGAAATTCATTGATTCTCCAGCTGGGAACCTCGACATGGGAGTCGTTGTTTTTCTTTGCACAAAAACAAGGACACGATTCGTGCAAAATGGAGCCAGGCAAGCTCCTGGGCTCCATCGACACCAAGCTGCAGGTCTTCAACGGCGAGGCTCGATGCGATCGAAGGGATTCGATGGGATTCGATTCCCTGTGGGTTTCTCGGGTGGTTTGTTTGCCCTGGGGGAACAAACCATGGAACCCTATGTGTCCTTGTTAAGCCAAAATTTGGTTAGAAATGGATGGGATCCGCTTAGATTGGTCTTTGTTCCCATTTACCACGGAAGATCATCTGTTTTTCCAGAAGGTTTTTTACGGAACCCTGGACTTTCGAATGGGGTTCCTCTACCCCTATTCCGGGAAAATCATACCACCAAGCTAGGAGTCATGGACCTAGGGGGCAAACGGAGGAAAGGGGCCCTTAAGGGATAAGGCCTATGCATATCCAAAATTTGCTCTTGCGTCTGTCCTTCTGGAGGCCCATTGGTCCATGCTTACTGACCGCTCTGGGCGGACGAGGCTCTTGGATTTTTGGCCAACAAGCAGTTTGCTTTTCTTTGTTGCAAAGTGAGACACTTATTCACGATGTTAATTTGGTCGATCTTGCGGGTTGGCTCCTGAAGACCCGCAGAGGGGGGGGGGGGTCGGGACCGTTCGCTGGTTCTTCCAAACCAACTTGTTTTTGCACCTCCAACTGTCGCGTGCCCCTTGGTTGGTGGTTTGGATTGGCGGTTTTTGGGATTTGAGCCCTTGGTGTTTGTAGAGGGCAAATGGAAAAACCATCGGAAAACCACAAACCACAGATTCGGCTCCAAACCACGAAAAAAGGAGGGACGCTGAAACTGCGCCTCTTGGTTCGGCCCACAAGCCAAGTCGGGGTCGAAGAAACAAACGTGGCCCAAGCCCGCTTTGGGCTGACAAATAGCAACCAGCCTCCCGGGAGAGCATTTTTCTAGAAGAGGGTAAAAGGCCTTCAACAGAATTTACATTTTTTGGCTGGCCCAAGGTGCCCTTAAACTTAGGGGTGGTACGCTTCCCCAAAATGGAAACCCGTGGGTTTAAGTTTACCTTCAGGTGAGTCCTTAGCAGATTGTGTATGAGTGGCTTTTTGCACACTTTTGCACACTTTGAGGAGCTGAGTTTTGACTCGCCGGCTGTTGAGAACGAGTGACGGCTGAAGTTGCCGCAACATGTCGAGCGTCTTTTGATCCAGCGCAAGCCCTTGCGCTGGCCGAGCTGTTTGAACAGGAGACTGGGTGCTCAAGCTGTGGCCAAAGAGCTCACTTGCCCAAAGCGAATCGACCTTTTGCCCTTTCGGCGTTTCAAATTTGGTCCATTTTTAGTAAAGGATGTCAATCCCTCAGCCAAAAAATGTGAAAAGGAAGCTCTGGGCAACCTTCTGGGATCTCTGTTAGGGAGTAAGTTCGACCCAGCTAAGTGTATGAGGGATCCCTTTTGGATGGTGAAGCGAAAGGAAACCAAATGGAACTACCATTGGTGGCCTGGTTGTGACAAACTCCAGTGCGTGCTTTCAGCGATACCCAAGGAACCTCCTCATGAAACCTCACTTCGTCGCAGATTTCCCATGGGCGTCACCCTTACCGTTGACCCGCATGAATAAACCTCTCCTTCTATTAAGGGGCGGGGTGGGGTCCCCACCAAAAGTGATGAATGCTGACAGGGGGACTCCCATGATTAACATCAACCAGGGCTTCTGCTTTGATCCGGGGTTCCCATTATGTGGGTGGCCCGTCTTTGTTGAGGCTTGCTCGTGCCCTGTTCGGGGTGCGCTTTGCGCAAGGGAATCACAGAAAGAAAAGAAATTTCACCTTACCCGTAGTTGGTGGTTTGGTTTGGTGGTTTGGTGGTTTGGACCTTGAAGTGTACCTGGTGTCACGGGTCTGCGGGTTCGGACCGGGCTCCAAACCAACAATCGATTTCTTGGTACGGTACCTTTCTTAGGTGGATTGGTTTCGGGGTTCCTACGTTTTCCCCTAAGAGCAGAGAGTCATAGGAGATAGGGGTGGTTTGAGGCAGCTTTAGGGAGGGTTCCAGGGTTGCCGGGGCTGTGGCGGATACCACCTGGGCTTATTTGGGGTTCTCAGACTCGACCCCCGACGCCGATGGATTCGCGAGGGCGCAGACTTCGGGCGCCTCGCAGGGGTGCTTGGGCGGAGGGAAGGATGTCGGCCAGCGTACAAGTCGGTTTGCGTGCGTGTGTTTGTTTCCCCCCTTTTTTTTCTCCTTAAAGAAACAGCAAAGAAACCTTTTCAGGATGGCTTGACCCACAGTTTTTGGCCTAAATTGGCTTAAATGCCCTTTTGGGCGGAAGACGGGACAAACATAAGTGGGTGACCTCCCACACTGGGCCTCCCTGGTCCCTAGAGGGGACACATGATTAGGGGACCCTTGCAGCATCAGGGAGTCCCTCGACCATGCAGGGACCTTTGCACTAAGTTCCGCACAGAGCAGAGCTGCAAACCGTCTCGCTCTTTGTTTAGCTTTACTTGCACTTAGAGAATTCAGTGAGCGAAGGAAATCCCCTTGAATGTGAACAAGCAGTCATACTGTGGATGGGAGAAATCCCACACCTCGAAATGAATCCATGGCTAAAACAGAACATATCCTGAAACACAGATGGAACTTGGGGTGATATTAACAAAAAAGGGGTTTCTGTTTTTGAAGGTACCCCTTTTGTTGTTGGATTTTAAGGGACACCAACAGAGAACCGTTGCCATATTGGGCGTCCCCCAGAAAGGACAGACCCAGGTATGTCTTTTGGAGTTGGTATGGTTGGCTTTGGTTTTACGGGAGACTGAGAAGGACCACCGCAAGTTTGTCCGGGTCCACCTATTTTGACCCATACTCATGTGGCTAGGTGCCTCGATTTCGGGCCCCTTCGTTTGTTTCGACGGCCGGATTGTTGAGACCTCTTGAAAATTTGAGTTTGGATGTGGGTCGTCTCCCGAACCTGGGGGGGTTGGACTTGTTGGGGTTTGGATGCTGTGAATTGACGACGCCAGTTGCCTACAAATAATTAGATAAACCGCCAATCCCTAGTGCAGATCGATTCATCTGAATCTTGAAACCATCTGCTTCCGGCACAGGTTCGGAAGCAGTCGGGGGCTTACGAGCTGAAGGCGGCTGCGAAAACGGGTTCTCGGGGTTGCGATCCCCGATGCGAATCTCTTTTTCGGGGAAAGAGATCTTCGGGAGGCGCTTCTTTTGCAATGCCTGGGCCGTTCAAGCTCGATCCTCAATCCTTCTGCCAGATGCTGGCTTCCTTTGCATAGGGTCCCACTACGGATAGGGATTAGGGGATCTTCCGCCACGAGAACAAGAAACCAAACCAGCTTGGGGAGGGGTATCCAAGACCTAGATATATGGGTGTGGCTCAAAAATAGGAATCGGTCCAGAATGGGTTGCGCTGGTAATTACATGGACAAGTCGACCAAAACTGCCCCAACTGTTTGATTTGAGCCACACCAACACAACTTTTTGTGAGCATGTTGAGAGAATCAAGTGTCAATAGGTTTGGGTGCTCACATGGGCTCTCTCTCAGACTCGAAATGGCCAGGCGATTGTTCCGAGCCCAAGCAAGGTTGCTGGTTTTGATGCGCAGTAGACCTGTTGCAATAGGCTCATGCCTTAGCCTCACCCGCTTAAGCGACAGCTCTTTTTTGATGGGTCCCTTTAAAATCTTTTGAAGAGAGAGACATGATGAGGGAAGCATCTTGATCTAATATCAGGACTACCGCCACACAGAGCCACATATTTGATACTTCAAGCACATGGGAAAAGTTAGCGATGGCCGTTTGGGGGCCACACATAGCTTGCTGGTGGCGATAGGGAATGAAACGGAGAAAACAACATGGTCGAGGTGAATTTTCAGGTCTACCCTTGCACTGCCAGAAAATGGACCCCGGCAGCTGGGCCAAAGCGCAAGGTGGTCTTCCTTCCATGGCCCCCAATTGCCCTGCACTGGTCTTTGGCGCATCCGTTGGTCTTCTGCTTGGCTCATTGGGTTTGACATGGAGCCCATTCGCTTTCTTTAACAGGAACACCAAAAGGGGCAATGTGGGGGGGCAATAATATTCTATTCTAAGCATTTGGGCCCTTGTAAGACCAACTCCAAACAACAAAATTGTGGAGGTTCCAAAGTGTTTACAGTACCCCACGGACCTATTCGAACCATTTGGGCCCGATGGCGAACTCCAAACCACAGAAGAGGCCCAATGGCTGATGGAGAATCGTTCCCACCAGTTCTGCAACGATTGCGCCAGGAGTCTGCAACTGGCAGGCCCGGATTCGAAGTTGGGAGGGGCGAGTTTTCCCTATCGCCACCAAATGAACCCGATTGAAGTGCCATTCACTTTGAGTTCCACTCATATCTACACATATATGACCTAATGATTCCTAAGATGTTAAGATAGGGGGTGCAACCACACATTTATTTTCCTGTTGGGTTCGTCAGACTTGATTTGTTTTGAGCCACGGACTCGCTTTTGGAAGGTGCCCCATGGTCCGTGGCGAAACGCTCTGGCTCGGAAAGCATCGGGGAAGACACGGACAGAACTCCCATAACTGTGGATGAACCTGAGAAACCATGGTTGAAACCATTGTGTGTCGAGATTTGCAGGGGAATCGAATCATTCCAGCGTTTCTCAACGGTGTTGCACCCAAACTGTGGATGGACAAAATCCATTTCGCACCAGTTAGGACAGATGAAACCCTACAAATCATGGTTGATGAACCACCTATCAACTGGTGCGAGAAGCGGATTTCGCAACCATTTGGAAGTACGTGGCGCCGACGAACCGTTTCTCGCATCCCGCGCTTGCAATTTTCGGTCGAAAGGAATTTCGCCCTTCGGGGGCAAGGGGCCGTGCTCTCTCAATGAGGTGAACTTCGGATACCCTCCAGGCGATTCCATGGAAGCTCCCACCCCTTTGGAAAATTTGGATATTTGCAGAGGCCTTCTGAGGGAGTGCAAAGATCCGGCCGCATAATCCGATGATGCCGACCTGCAGGGAGCTGGCCAGCCCACGAGCTGCGCGTGTTTTCCCGTTCTCCGAACTCCGAAACATCGCCTCAAGGATTTCCAGGAAGTGGATGCCCCCGGGCGCCGGGTGCGTTTCTTTGTTTTTTTGTTTTCTCCTGCGAGGCACCGGTGGATGGTCGCTGCGAACATGCAGTTCGAGGGGCACGAGTACTTCACTGTGACGTGGAGGCCGTCCCACGTCCTCACGGCACGGGACCCTCAGTCCACGGGTCCCTGGCCGCTGGTTCTTTGTTTTTGCAGCATGGCAGGGGTGTGGTTTTGTTTGAGGTGTACCCATATTGATCTGTTTTGGGGTGGTTTTAAAGACAATCTAAAGTGTAAACCACGTTTGTTTGTTGCGAGAGCGACTCTTTCCAACTGTTTCTCTATTTCCAAGGGGCGAAGCTGTGAGCAACCCAAAAACACAACTGGAGACCCAACCAAACAGAAGTGAGTTTCCAGGGAAACGTGGATGGCTCAAAAGAAGTCAACACTTTCTGTGTGCGCTGTATGCCACTAAAATGGTCCAGCCCCAAAAAGTGACTAAAACTCAGGAATCCAGTCGTTCCCAGAGGTCCAGAAACAAGCCCGTGGGAATCTTACCTTGACGCTTGCTGCATGGTTTGTGGGCTTGCACTGCCGAAGCAACTCAGACTCATGGCGATTCCTTTCGTGAACAATTTGAACATGGTTGGGGGTGTTGCGGGCCACGTTCTTAGAGGCTCTCAGCCTTGTTTCAAGCTGCGAACCCTGTGGAAGATGTCACTTGAAGGGACCTGGGTTCTCCTCCAGACTATTTTCCATTTTAAAGCAGACTAGATATGGTTACCACAATCTGAACACATGATTCTGTACCCGTATCGGACCTCAAATTGGCACAACGTTTGTCCCTTTGGGTTTCGGTTAGAATCCCACAAGGGGGAGATACCAACTCAAAGAAAGGCGAGGCACTTCTTGTTGCAACTGTTCCTTTCGCCCAAAGCGCTTCATCGATCGACCGTTGGATTCATCGCTTCGATCCGTTCGCCAGGCCTCGGCGCCGCATCCTGGCCACGGTGAACCGAGGCCAGGGCAGCTACGCGGAGTACATGAAGGCGGGTGGCGTGGGATGTGTTGGATTACATGGACTTATAGTATACAATATATACATATACACATATGTGTATGTGCACATATGGTACCCTCCCCAGGAACTACCCAAAACCAAAAAAGCCTGAACATCATACATATGTAGGGTTTTCCTTTTAGTTTCCCTTTGAAAAAAAAAAGGATTCTTGAGGTGAAAAGGGGTACCAGGCCAAACCTGTCACGAAACATGAAGCGACTCAGGGTTGTGCTTTCATGCCTACCACGGGGCAGATTGGTGGATGTGGCAGATCAGGCGTCTTTGTGTCCCAAAGTTCTGTTTCTTCGGTTTGGCGTGGAACATGTTCTGGGCACAATCGCGTGCTCTTGGCTTGCAGGCGGTTCGCCTATGACCTTCCTTGCCTTTGAACATCTCATTTTGGCATGGTCTGTAGGGGGCAGAGTTTTCTTGGTGCTGCCAATATATGTGTGCATGAGTCATATAAACTTGCCCCATGCTGCGTGGCGCCTTCGCGGTGCGTGTGCAAGGTGATCTCAACATGCTGGGAAGTTGAAGAGTTGAACCTAAACCCCAAGTGGTGTGTCTCCATTCGATGTCCCACAAAGGGTCCCTTAAAATTAACAGTTCACGCCCAAAGATGCAAGGACAAGTTCCCGTTGAGCATTCCAAATTTGGTCCCGACTTCTCTGCTGCCCAGTTTTTTGCTTGGATTGTTTTTCAAAATCAAGCCTGTGGGACGACCATTTGCGTTCGCAGAACTGTGGCCCCCAGTCCTTTTGCCGCGAGGTGATGCCATCTAAAGGTGTCGCAGCGGCCCGAGTGGGCGAAGGGCGAGATCGGTCGGCCCAAGCAATGGTCTGTATTTGCTGTCATCTACCGCCGAATGACACGTACACGCAGAACAAGATACCGCTAGGAAATGGGGGGCACAACAAGTGTTGACTGTGGCTCGTGTGCCAACCAACCCATCATGAACTACCAACAAAACTACACGTGGGGCGGGGCCTGGGCAACGACATATCACGACCTGAGGTTCCGTCCGGTACCCCATGTTTCCCTTGGGGGTGGTGGTTTGGGGATAGTGGAAACCATCTCACAACATCCTGTTTTGTCCATGGTCCATGGGGTCGGGACCTGGGGCCCTGTACGAGGTCTAAGTTTCTCCATGTGTGCGTTTTCAGGTGTGTTTTGTATAGTTCATCCAAATTGAGATGCTTTTGATGTTTCCCACTGGGGGTTGTCCACGTGGGTTTGTCTTTCGAGAGAAGGCAACTCCACACCGGCTTTGGGTTTCCTTTGTTTTGAATTAATCCCGAAGAGGCCGTCTCTCAGAAAGATAGACCCAAGTGAGGAATTGGGCTGTCTTGGTTTTGGTAACGGTTGGTTTGAGCAGGTGAGTTTCCCGGGGCTCGGGTTGATGTTTTAACCCCATTGAAATGGAATTGGGGGAGGGATTTCGACCCTAGAAGTTGCATTGGTTCCATTTTCCCTATGAAGAACCCATCCCCAACACCCCCCTCTCCTTCGGGGATTTGCCCAGGACTCACCGGGACTCCCCTGGGACTCGCCTCGGGAACCTTCGAGAACCCTTTTTCGGCCCAGGACGTGGTGCTGGTGGTCCTTTGCTGCGTGGGGCTCTTCGTGTTTAGGCGAGTTGAGTCGGCATGTGTCGCGAAAGCTTTGCAGAATCCATTTAGCCGAAAGCTGTGGGCTCTCTGCCCAGATAGGCGAAAAGGGGTGGTTTGAGGCAGCTTTCAGGGAGGGTGGGCTGTTGGGGATACCACCCTCTTTTATTTTCTATAAGCTCGGATGTGGGTGGACAAATCCAGTGCTGGTTGGTGTGTTCAAAAAACAACAGGCTGATTTTTGGGCATGGGTCGCAAATGAGCAAGGGGTGGGTATTTGACAACAAGAGCAACGATCATACGAGAGCTCGGGAGGTTTCCATGCACCCAGACACATTGTCCGGGTTCAAGTTGTCAAGGGTTCTATGTCAATTGCCTTTGTTGGGGGCGGCTTGCTTTTGCATTTTGGATTTACGTGACTCGAGTGGAGCCTGAGGCATTGCCACTTCTGAAAAGTTCTATACAATGACAATGTGAAATCCCTGGAACCTGCTGTGGATGGTTGCGAAATCCGCTTCTCGCACCACGAAAGGAAACCATGGTTGAAACCAAAACGTTTGTTGTCGTGTTTACGTTGTGGTGAAATCAGGGTTTCTGAACGGTGGTGCAGGAGCTTGTCCATCCACAGTGCTACCCCTCTTTTTAACGATGGACGTGGACGGGGGACGTGTATTTTCGTCCAATGCCCGAAGTCATCGTCTGTATCGGGGCAAGTGAGGAAACGGTTGTGCCTGGCCTAAAGACGACCCAAGCACAAGGATGGCAGAATTTGGTTGGTTTCTTTTGGTTTCTGTTTTCTTGCCATTCACAAAACAACATTTTCAACTTGGGTTTCAGTTGGGTCTTACTTGGCCATTTGGTTTTGGTTTCCTTTATTCACTTCCCCATTCGAACATGGAATCGCCCCCAAACGGGGTTCCAACCCTTATTTTCTGCCGTCATTGGTTGCAGGGAGTCAGAGGAATCGCTTCAAAGTACGATCAACCATGTGACCCTTATGACACATCCGGAAGCAGATCCTTTGGAAGTGTTGCACGACGCCCTGTTGGTATCCAAGTGTTGTTTTCCCCCTTCAAGCAGGGGATTTCTCGGAGCCCTGTTTCACTAAGCGTTTGCGAGTGGTGTCAAAACGGGCCGCCAGTTGCGAATTGAGCGGCCAATTCGTTGCGCTGGGTTGCAGCTGTGGGGAGGTTTCTTGTTCTCCCGGAAATGGGTTGGAAGGACCCCAACTGAACCATACCGCAGGGTTTCCGAGCCATTTTCGTTTCTGGAATCTCAAGTGTCGTTTCAATGGAAGCCACCGGTAAGTTGGTCACACCTTTTGATTTGGGAAAATCCAGCTTTACCCCCCTCGAACGATTCCTTCTGAGACACCCCCCTCAAATTCCAGATGGTTTCGACTGTCAGGCTGGATGCCAATTCTCTGCAGGCGGGGGCAACTTGGGGCTTGTTTTTGGTGGCAACTGGGCGTGACTTCCTTGGAAGGGAATCCATTTTCGACGCAGATCTATTTGGGTCGGTGCTATTGTGCTTGGAATGAGCTGACACCGAACAAACCAATCCTTGGAAGACCCTTTGAAGCGCTGAAAAGAAGTGCATCTCTGGGGCGCGATTCCTCCTGTTCTTCTCAACCATCGCTTTTGTCAGAAAACAAGCAACAATAATTGAGCCATATTATTCCTCTGATGCTAATACGGATGCTGAGGACAAGAGTGCGACACATCGCCTTAGGCCTTCTGCCTTGGGGAGTGAGAAGAATAAGAAGAAGCAGAGAGGTTGAGAGGAGCAGGTTGGGCAGACCTCCTGCACAAAGGAAGAGCAAAGTCTTGGTAAACCAACTTTTCAGGCAGATCACATGTACCATCATGCAATTGGCTAATTTCATGGGACCTCTTTCCTTTGGCTAGTTTTCAGACTTATGCTCAGGTGTTAGCCATTGAGATTTTCACGCTGATGCAAACTACTGGAGTATTCGAAGCAGACGCCTTTTGCATCAAAGTTGCATGCCGTAAACTGATGCAGAAGTCAGTAAAACAAGTGTAAGCCAAACAATTCCTGGATCGAGAGTCATCAAGAGAAGTTTGAGACGCTGCTTCCATGGCACTTGACCATATTTGTGAGCAAGCCAGAAACTGCATCATGGGCAAATTTGCTGATTGGCAGATTCGAACACATCACTTTGCACATGAAAATGCCACTCCTGTTAAAAGTTATCTCAGAAATGTCACTTAAAGGCCAGGTTCCAACTGTGCTCGCAGAAGGAACCAACCCCCTGTTTCCTACATCCCTGTCACAGATTGTTTGGTCCTAGAGAAATGAACAACTGCAAAAAAACTTAAGTATCATCATAACACATCAAATAAGCCTGAACCTAATATTGCATAGCGTGGTGATAAAGCTTTTCGCCCCCACTTCTGGATTCACCTCACTTTCTCAGTGCGAAGACGTCGAAACGGCCTGCGACCGTTTTTTTCAGGCGAAGCGGCCGCCTGAGATCGCGGAGGATGGCGGCGCGGGCGCAGGCGGGTAGGGGCTGGGGGTTTTTCTTTGAAGGTTTCTGCGATTAGCAGTTTGAAGGCTTCGGCCGGGCCGGAGCTTTGGGGATTGGATTGAAGGGGTGTTCAGGAGTTGGGGGGGTTCGAGGGTTGATTTTCAATCATTCCCCAGATAGCTGAAAGCTATAGGGGTTCTAACTTCTAATAAAGAAGGGAAAGTGATTTGCGAGATTGAGGGCCGGGTGCTGGGGGGCATGCAGTTGGGGGTGCTGGTGCAGGTGCTGTTTTGCGAGCTTGACTTCCGGGTGCTAGGGGGCATGCAGTTTCGGGTGCTGGTGGAGGTGCTGTCTTGCGAGATTGACGGCCGGGTGCTAGGGGGCATGCAGTTTGGGGTGTTGGTGGAGGTGCTGTTTTGCGAGATTGATGGCCAAGTGCTAGGGGTCATGTAGTTTGGGGTGCTGGTGGAGGTGCCGCTTTGCGAGATTGACGGCCGGGTGCTAGAGGGCATGCAGTTTCGGGTGCTGGTGGAGGTGCCGCTTTGCGAGATTGACGGCCGGGTGCTAGGGGGCATGCAGTTTGGAGTGCTGGCGGAGGTGCTGTTTTGCGAGATTGACGGCCGGGCGCTAGGGGTCATGCAGTTTCGGGTGCTGCCGCTTTGCGAGATAGGGGGCATGCAGTTTCGGGTGCTGGTGGAGGTGCTGTCTTGCGAGATTGACGGCCGGGTGCTAGGGGGCATGTAGTTTGGAGTGCTGGTGGAGGTGCTGTTTTGCGAGATTGACGGCCGGGCGCTAGGGGTCACTCGGGTGCTGGTGGAGGTGCCGCTTTGCGAAATTGACGGCCGGGCGCGAGGGGGCGTGCAGTTTGGGGTGGCGGTGCAGGTGCTGTTTTGTGTTGCTGTTGGAGGCGCTGCTGACCGTGTGGGCTTATTTCCCGGATAACTGGAAACCATAGACTTCTAATGAGTGCTGTTCAGCTCAGGTGCTACCACCCCAACGCAGCACCCGCGCCAGCGCCGGACATGTCCCCGAGCACCCTGCCGTCACGTACTATGTGGATGGCAGGGTGCTAGGGCGTGTGCTGTTTGAGGTATCGTGGTTGTCGCATCATCCTGATGCTGGCCGCAGCATCATGATGCTGTCAGCAGCACCATGATGCTGTTGAACTGATTCGGACGTTGTTGCTGCTCTAACTGTCGCGCGTAATGGTTCGTGGCTTGTGTGTCATCATGATGTTGTCAACCACGTTATGATGCTGCTGCAATCGCTGCGGTGCCGTGTTATGGTTTGCGGGTGTGGTGGCGGGCATAATGCTGTCAACATCAGGGTCGCGAGATGATTTGTGGCTGTGGTATCATCAGGATGCTGCCGTTGCCATCACCATGATGCTGTGAACATCATCATGATGCTGTCCGCATCATCATGATGCTGTCGAACTCATCAGGACGTCGTCTCTGCCTTTTTTCTGCTAGATATGTAGCGCGGAATCGTTTGTGGCTGATGTGTCAGCATCACCCTGTCAACAGCATTGTTTTGCAGATGGACTCACTAGGACGTTGTCTGCGCGTCTATGTAGCGCACTATGCTGAGTAGCTGTTGTATTTTCATGATGCTGTCAACATCATCAAGATGCTGTCAACATCATCATCATCATGCCGCCGTGGTGTGCTATCTGGGGTCTATGCTGGTGTAATTTGAAGCCAACAATACATTCTAGTATCTTTGCTGACACGAGACAGTCCTTTTTTCCCGCCCACTTCGGACGGACCAAAATGAAGACCGCGCTAGCTGCCAGTTTGTCATTGGGAGTTCTCCTCTCAACATGATCAAAAGTCATTGCCTGGGTAGATGGATAGACCAAGCCATAGGTGCGCCCGGAAGTTATTGACTTTTGGTTATACCAACATGGTCATAAAGGTTTACCTTGGTCCTGCCTCTAGCCCACGTGGCTTCAGCCAGGCAGCTCTTTTTTTTTGGAAGGGGGGGAGCGGTTTGGTCGTGAAGTGGACCTCAGCACCTTACCAGCAGTGGAGTTCGGGACGAGTTGTGTGTGTTGAATCCCAATCCCTCTTCATGCCCGGAACCCTCGACCCCGAGCACGCAAAGCTTCAACCGCAAACGAACGAACAAACAAGCAAGCAAGCAAGCAAGCAAGCAAGCAAGCAAGGACACACCTCACTTTCCCACAGCGAATCGACCATTTAGACTGTGTTTTCCCTGATGGGTCGATAGTTTAGTCAGAGTTCCAAAGGTTATGTCCAGGTCCTTTGGGTAACTGAGACAAACAACAGCAAACGTAACGTACCCAGAAGTCGCACCCATTGCTTGCCTACCGGACACCGCAGAAACAACAACAAATCAACAATCTTGAACTTGAAGCCTGCATGATTTACTGTCCGGCTTGTATTTTCTGGAGGGTAAGTGGCGACTGATTTGTTAGCCAGCCGATGTGGGAATGCCGCTTCCATTTCTCAACCATCCCTTCCAAACGTTGTTTTTTCCCGCAGTCCTGATGAAGGGAGTCACAACCAAAACCAAAAATCAGAGGGAGGTCGATCCAAAACCTCTGGCAAAAAGAAAGGGCCGAACACCTGCCACACCTAGTTCTGGTTGGAAAGCCTGCGAACTCATCTCCGCTCACGGGCAGGCAAACTGCTAGAGTCTGCGAGCTGATGGGAAAAGAGCTTTGTGCTTCGTTTTTATGCGGCGCCCAGCGAGATCTTGAGAGCTGTGGCCCTTTTAGTTCGAGCAATTTGCTAACCCTCTCATGGGTTAGCCCATATAGCCGGGGGATTTTATTGTCCCTTTGACCCGCTCGGGTTTCCCTTGCTTCGAAGTTTGTGCGCTGTGTCCAGTTGAGCAGTGACTTACCTTGGTACCTGCCATCCTTTACTAATGGTAAGGGTTGCCTTTTTTGTTGTTGAAGCTTTCCAAGGGTCGACCAAAAGGTAACCCCGCTTTGGATTTCCCCTATCTTGAGAAGTTGCAAAAAGAGGAAACGGCCAGCTCCCAAGCAAAAATAGGCGCGACTCTCAGTTGCGAGATTCTGACTAAGACTCTTGATTGGGTTCGCAAGCAGATTTCTCTCTCCAGTGGGTCTATGTCAACTACCTAAAAAGGGTTTCCTTTTTTAAGTTCAACTACCCAAAAAAGGTGCCCTTCCTTTCCCACGGCCACGGGGGTTTGGGCAACTCAACCCCAGCCAAAAGCTGCAGTGACTCGTAATTGCTTGGAGGCACGCCCAAAATGGTGGGTTTCCCTTTGGTATTCCTTTAAACCAACGAAACAGGGGTACCCTCAAGAAACGACACACTCACATGCCTCCAAGGGCCCAAGACAAAAAGACGCCGGCAGCTTTTATGTTTGTCAACCATTTCCCCTGACCCGACCCAAATGGACGTGAACCCCGCCGGAGTGACCAAGGAACTGGGCGGATTCTGCTAGTCAGAGGGACCCTGAAAATCAATGTCACTTTCTGACTAAAAGCGAGCCACCTGATTGGTACAGTCCTGATGAATACGCAATTTACCTCCAGTTGTCAGAGCCGCCTTCCTCAACCGACTCATTAGGGGCCTCTGAAATTTTCAACCCACATGTGTGTGTGTGTGTGTGTGTGTGTGTGTGTGTGTGTGTGTGTGTGTGTGTGTGTGTTTGTTTTGTTCGCATTGAATGGGAAATCAAGAGGAACCCCAGCATTTTCGGCAGTCCCCCGATTTTTACCCTCTACTTGGGACTCAGGACTCCCGTCATTTTCAAGCAAGGGGCCAAAACAGGCCTCCCTCTAATTCCTCCCGACCAGTTTTTGTGGGAAGTGAACAGAGCTGTTACTTCTAGGGGACGCCTCCGAAAGTTAGTCCCTAATTTGGGTGGCCCGTTTTTTTTCTTTTTTTTCTCGGACTTGGACCCCCCAAACTGGTGGGGTTGATTTAGCTTTAAACCCGGCCCCAAAAAGGGTGGTGCCCTCAAACAACAATTGAACACCTAGCAGCTGTTGAATCTGTCGACAAGTTCCACGTCGACACGCATTGGGTGGGCTTCTTAAAGCACATCCAGGTGCGACTCCCTACAAGGCACAAGGTACTGTTCGCAGACAAGAATCACCCGAATGGTTGGTGATTCTGGTGTTCAAAGCAGATTTGAGTTGTGACCCCTGAAAACTGCCAACCCTTTCGGTTTCCCGGCAAGAAAACAAGAGAACGAAACACACGAACCAAAGACGGCTCATTTTAAGCAACCCGAGCCTGAGGACCCCTTTCCTTTTCGCGGCGCAGGGCTCGGCAAAGCCCTGATGCCAGGGAACACCACCCCAAAGGCGGGGGGGAACCCCAAGCACTGCAATCACCTGGGAAAGACTCAAAAGGTTTTGTGCCAAGTTAGGGAGTGCCCCGAAAAATGTTGTTCTCCTGTGTGTTCCAACAAAAACACACCCTGCAAAGGGTACCAGTATATACCCCAAAACTTTTGTTTCTTCTGGTTGCCCACAAAACATGCCCAAAACAAGTGTTTAAGGTTTTCCTTTACAACCACCCTAAAAGGGCCACCCTGAGAAACAAATGCCAACTGAAGATGTGATTGGGAGCAGCCTTACGACACGTGGCTTTTTGTGGCTTTTGGCTTTCAAACAGCGGCATCATGGCGGAGTAGCGCCATGAGCGAGGCGGGGGGCATGGAACATGCTGGGATTCTGGCATTTTCGGGAATTCCAAACATGCCAGCAGGTTCCGTTTGGTTTCCTGCGAAAAACCAAGCAAGCCTGGGTACCCTCAAGAAAGACACTCCCATGGAAAGCATGAGAGGTTCGGTCAAAATTTCCAGTGTACAATTTGGGAGGGTCGCGGGGGACTCACTGAACTCTTCCCCCAAGGGAATCGGTTCAAACTACCATTGGGGTTGATCAATTTTCCCGACAAGGCCTCCAAATGAGCATGGGTAACTTTTTTTAGTCATTTAGTGCTTGAAATATGTTTTTTCTTTTTCGTGGGTTTTCCAATCAATGGTCATCCCATGTTTACCGGGCCTTTTCATCAACCCCATGGGCATGCCCTTTTTGACTTTCGGCGCTCTTTAATTGAGCGTTTTGAACGGGACCAAAACCACTTCGAAAGGCTTTCTTTTTCATGGAGAGACACCGGTATAGGTGTCCTTTGTGGTTGGTCAGGTCAATCATCTACCAGGGCCATTTGTTTTTGATCCAACCAACAACAAAGAACACCTATGGTAACACACCAGTATATGAAGCATGGCCATCACTTTTCAGGGCCCAGGTTGGTTGGTGGACACAGATCCCATGCTACTGAAGTCCACCCAAAGGTCCAGTCAACTCAAGTTCATACCCATAGGCATATATGACTGGCTGGGCCACAAGAAATTCTAGCCTTGGGAGAATATCAAGCGAACGGTCACAACAAGGTGAACTTGCAGCATTTTTCAAGCATTCATCACCTATGATAGACATATTCATCCGCAGCACTCGCAGAGAGAACAATGCAGTATCGCAGCTTCAGAAAAAGAAAGCACGCCATTTCTTGCGTCCATGGCTTCGGATTAAGGTCTTAGAGGTTCCGGATCGTTTGTTCTTCGGTTCATTGGTTTCCGTTTTGCCGAGTTTTGTTCGACGTTCGTAGGTGGTTTGGAGTGGTGGGATTTGAAGCCCTGGCTTTTGTAGGGGCAAGCGTGAAACAAGCCCTAGCAACAGCTCCAAACCGCGGGCGCAGATTTGGCTGCAAACCACCAGTTAGAAGGAATGAACCCCAGATCTAAGTCGACCCCCCGACGGATTGGGGGAGGGGAGTGTCCCGTTTAAGTGGGGTGCAGACCACTTTTGAAGAGCAAGACCCCCATGAATGGGACGAGTTCTGATTAGATCCGGGGTCAACATTCATCAAACTCAAATTGAGTTTTTGGCAGTTTGCCAATCCTATGGTTGTCCAGCAAATCGCCTCGCCAGAGAGACTGAAACCCCGCAACCCAATGGGAGTTTTTGGTTGCACGGTATACAGGTTGATTATTGGAGCCTTACTTGGGGATTCGGCAAGAGCCATGGGAACTAATATAATCTAACTGGGCTCCAATACTCAAAGGACTCTTAGACGTGGTACGGCAACTAATTGAAAGCTAGCCCTCTGATGGATGACAAGAGAAGAACGAGCACGCGCAAAAAGAAGCGTGCGTGTGTGGCGGGGGCATTGAAGTGTTTAATGAGCGCAACTAACTGCGGGGTTTCGGTGCTTTGGGATGATTGAAGGCTTGCCTGATCGCAGCGCCTAGTCGGAGGCCTCGAGCGCGTTTTGAGTGGGCTCGGAGCGGGCTCGGACCACGCTCGGAGCCAGGCCCACTGGCATGGACGCTCGCATGTAGTCTGCGTGGCAGGCATCGCTTTCGCAAGGTGAGGTTCAGATTTCGTGGCAGGCGCAGCGCTTTGGCATGGTCAGCTCATTGCAGGCGGCGCGCTTTCGCAAAGTCAAGCGCAGGGTTTGTGGCATGCGCAGCACTTTTGCGCGGCCAGGCGCAGATGTCACGGCAGTCGCGGCGCTCGCGCGCGCGGTCATGTGCAGATTTCGTGGCAAGCGCAGCACTTTCGGCCGATAGATAGATAGACGGATAGATAGGTATAGATAGTTAAGATGGACGGGTGGATGGATGGACGAATAGGTGGATGGATAGATAGGTAAGATAGACACATATAGCTACAAAGAGTAGCCGAAAGACAATGGATAGATTCGCAGATAACAGGCAGATAGATGGATAGGTAGACAAACAGACGACTAGATAGAGAAACAGATGGGTAAATAGATGCATAGATAGATAGATAGATAGATCGAGTGAATCAAAGAGAACGGAAAGAAAGAAGAAAGACAAACAAGAAAGAACAAGAAAAGAAATAGAAAAAGAAAGGCAAGAAACGAAGAAGGCAGGAAAGAAAAGGCAGAAAGACAGGAAGGAACGGAAGGAAAGAAAGATCACTCGAACTTTGGTGTTTTGGAAACTTCCGCCCAGTGCATGTTGGGTAGACATATGGAACAGAGTCCGAAAATGCTATCTTCTGTGTTTTGTGGCCAGGAAAGACTGAACCTTCCGAGGGGGCCAGAAGTACTGGGCCAAGCCAAGGGCCCTCTGGGTTGAGAGTTCTGGGTCAGGGCAGTGCGCTGCTGTCGGTGAAGTCTCAGACGCCAGAGCAGGACGCCCAGAGGCATGTGTCGGCATCAAAAGAGGACCTAGCAGATTGTAGGGACTTGGGTGATTCGACGGGTCAGTAGATCTTTGACTATTTAGTAGGTCTTTTGGTAGCGGGGTGATGACCATTTGCCGTGTGGTGGGATTTGTTTGTTGAGGGAAACGGTGCCCATGCCCTACAGAATAAGTTTTGACCGCCCAGGCTGCTTGAGGTTCGATGTGACACGGGCGAACTTTTTAGGGACCCCCCCAACAAAAAATGTGGATTTCCGTCTAAACCTAAGAGGGGGTGCCCTCCAAAAATGATACCCACATGTCCTGAAGCGGGCGCCTCCCCAAACCATCCCAAGTAAAGGAAATTCATTTCCGGGCAGGTTGTTAGGAGGCGTGGAGGTTAACTAGAATAAGCTCCACACTTCCAAGCAACCCAGCTGAAAATGCACTTTACCAATACGGAGCCGTAGTTTCAAGGGATCCTCAAATGGGTGTCTTTCAATGGTATTTGG